GATGCGTTTGCGTCGCAAAATTATTACGCCATGCGTATCAGCTTCCAGAGAGAGAGAGAGAGAGAAAGAGAGAACGCAAACAAAGAATTAAGGTAACGGTCCTATTTAAGGGTCGAATCCCAATTTTGAGTCAATTTTAGTTCATTAATTTATTAGAAACATAATTTATTAGAAACATAATGAAAACACGGAAAAATATTTTTTATTTTCTTTAGTTCATTTTTTTATAATAAATATATTCTAAAGTTACATTCAGAAACATTGTAGATATTAGAAAAAAATGTAAAATATAATTTAATCTATTGCATATTATAATAAATAAAATTATACAAAATTTGTATTTAAAAAAAAATCTTATATATACCTTATATGCATTTTTTTCTTGATCCAGAATTAGATATTGTATAATTTGTATAGAGATGCGACATAATTTACTGACCTATAATTAGGACTTACGCATTAATATTTCTAATTATTATTTTTTTATTTAGAATCGGTTAACTTGGAATTATATAATTTTATTTAAAAATTATAATGTTTATTGTTGTCATTGGTATTTATTGTTAACATTTTTAGTTCTTTTTAATATTAGACCATAGAATTTTTGTAAATAAATGAAAGTTATTCTAACTCTGGTAATTTCATTTTTCGTGAAAGAAAAGAAAAGACAAATAGGACCAATATCGCGCGTATCTTGCTACAAATTTACGATGAATTTGATTGACTGTCGGACGAGAACGATATAGGCGGGAAAAAATTATAGCAGCTCTTCGGAAATTCTCTATTTAGCAGCGAATTAGCGTGTTTATCGATCTTATCATACGGCAGATCTAATGTTGATCCAAGACTCTCGCGCGAAGGAAAATCTTCTCACCGACGCCTCTCGACGGTGATTGATTACGTAACGCTCTTTGCCACAATTCCCATTTCAACGATTCCAGCGATAACAGCGCAAAGTTGATTTCGTTAACAGCAGAAAAGAAGATAACGCTCATGTAGAGATTCGTGAGCCTTGACAAAGTATTTGCTTTTTGCAACACGTGTAATTACTCCATCAGCCTCGTTTCAGCGTCTATTCGCGTGCAGCGAACGTAAGACGGTGCAATAATAGTTACTTTTGCAAACCGCGTTGTCATCGCTTCTCGACGCTCTTACGTCGTCATACATTTTCCTTTCCCGTGCTTTTCTCGCAGAAAGAGGAAAACAAAGACGAACAGACAGATAAATAGATAGATAGACGAGGGAGAGGGACAGCTACAGAGGGTGAAGGAGAGAAACACAGAGATTAGAAGAAGCGCGTTTTAACGCGATGCTCGAATTGCCGTGCGAGATGCGGCGGCCGTTATCTTCGTCACGATCGAGGAATGTAATATCGTCACCCCAAGCGACAAGAGTTGCCTTCGTATCGCCGTTTAGAATACCGTCGGGGGGACACGGAACGAGGATTAAACTGCAATGAAAATCCACTCATTCTCCTCCGGCCCGCCACCGCCGTCGCCGCCGCCTCCTCTATCCTCTACTCTCTTTCCTCCTCTTCTCTTCTCCTCTCTTTTCTTCCCCACTTCGCATTGTCATCGCCGAGAAGCGGGTAAACAAGATATTGCTTTGTACTACGCTCTTCGTCACTCACTTCCGCGCCGTTTTTACCGTATCCGCCTCTCCCACGTCTTTCCCTTACCGCCTTATTTCGCACACCGCATCCTTCCTTGGACGTGCGCGAATTGCTTCTCGGACGATCGACGGATTCGTCCAGCGCGTTTGCTCGACCTGAATTATTTCTTCTCGCTTTAATCGTTGTGAATTATTATCGAGATTACTTCCGTCAGTTTGTCTTTCGCCGGTCAGGAGGAAGAAAACGACGGAGAAGGGAAGAATAATCACGTCTGTACTTAACGATACTTTATTGTTTTTATCATTACACATTATTATAAATCTATCATCTTGACACATACAATACTTACTAAGATCTACAGACGATTTTTAACGATAGGTTGTGTGTGTGTATGTGTGTGTGTACCATTACCGCAGCCTATAACTAAACATATATCCATCTTGGCTTCTCGCTGCTTACTCTTAGCAGAGGAACAAAGTGAAGGACCGCGGTGTCTCTCTTGTGCAACGATTAAAAATATAAGGGATTAGTAAAATATATTGTGTACATGTGTGTGTTTGTAAATGTGTATTACGTATGTGTATGTGTATATCGCCGTGTTAAAATTCACTAAATACTCGCGCATTACGGGATCTCCACATTTCGAGTACATTGTCCATCCCGATGTAGAAATAGGCGTGTTTATCCATATTGAAGTAATCCGGATTCGACGAGTTTCAATTTCGCCGTTAAATGTAAATTACATCATGCATTAATTTCAACTTTGAAACGTGTTGCATAAGCCCGCCTAATTGATTTACGCGTCGTTAATTTAATTTCGTACAATGTCGCCTCGTGATACAAGCGTGATATAAGCGTCAAGTTAGTGTACCGATCGATCTTGCGCTCTTCGGCAATTCCTGTTTCTTTTTGTGCAGATTACGCGGCCTCGACAAATTTTTAATTTATCGGTGAAATTCTCGGCCCTCTCCGACGTACAAATTCCATTAGTTTGTAGCAAAACTTCATCTTTCGGCAGATTTAATTTTCCAAACTTTAAAACCGAGTCTCTCTCTTTCCTTTTTTTTTTTTTAATTAATCGGGATTTTTTCTGGTTTCACACTTTGGATTATACCTTTTCGCAAAAGGCGCAATTACTGTCCCCGGAAAATTAAAGCTGTCTTATTCGTTCGTTCGTAGTTCAAGTTGCAAAAATTCCAAGGGTAGACTCGCATTAGGAGATCACGCGACTTGCCAATTTATCGCGCACGGTGCAAAATTCGACAGGTTGAAAGCATCTTCTTTCGAGATCGTCGCGCTTCTCCGACGGCGGTCGCATTGTCGCGAGAGACAGAGAATGCGTCTTAAACTGTAAAATACGATATAGGTATTCACAATTACATACGGATCGCGTTACTTCGATGTATGTACACCAAACGTCTACTTGACCGCTTACGGCTAAATGGAGTGGGAGAGCGCGGGGCGGCTTTACATTAAATCCGCCGGAGAAAAGTGCCCCCCTCCCTCTGCTATATAACAGAGTGCTGCGCATATATTTGTTCGGGACGCGTATTTACAATGCCGATATTAATCGGCCGTGTGGTGGAAAGCGGCCGTCTATTCGTCTAACCGAACGGATTCGGGCAAAGAAAGTGAAACGGCGAAAACGGAGGGAACGCGGCCAACACATTCGTACGACGAAACTTTGCTCGCAAAAGGATCGCTCGACGAGTGGAAGTATATTACTGTTTCATTTCCTTGGTCAGCCGGTGTAGCAAAACAAAGCAATTTTACGGTGTGCGACGCGACGTTACGTAACACCACGATGTAATAGTCCGGGAATGACGATGCCGTTAACATTAAGTTAGAATTCCGAGAATAGACTCGCGATCAATCGTAACTAATTTATTAGGATAATGAACGGACTGTCAACTCCGAATAAACTATCAATCCCCTGCAAACATCGTTATTATCAAACAAGTGTATTTGTCGAGCGATGATGTCGAACGAATTGTTGTAATAAGGTTAACAAAAATTCAAGTTTCCTGAAAATTCTTAGTTTTCCAAAAAACGAGTCAGGCTCTTAATGTTCCTAATATTTAGTACATAGTAAAATATTAAATAATTTACTTCCACCGGTCGTTTTAAGAAGCGCCGCGACACTTCAAATAAAACGCTACACGCTATTGCACTACGCCTTTTTACAGTGATTCACCGACACATATATATATATATATGTGTGTGTCAGGTTGCACTATTATCCTCGATATACATCTCATTAAGTTGATACGTCTCTTTATAGTTCCTGCGACTCATCTTGATGATTATTCGGTAGGAAACGATCACCTGGAATCTTATGCCAGATCTGACTCGATTATGTACGATTTGTGTCTCGTCTTACCGAATGAAAACTAGGTAACACAGATAATGCCAGAACTTCGATTTCGCGTACGTTCTTCTTATCGGCCGCTATCGCTGAACATTTTACCATGAAAGTGCACCGCTAATACGTGCAGAGCGAGCATCTCGCAGAGTTCACGGAAACCTACATCGAACTTTTGTTCAAGACGCGAATATAACAATCGCATGCGGATAAATTCTGTCCAAATGATGCAAAGATATTTACAATGCAACGTTTCGGAGTAAACATAATTGTTATTTCTCGACAATACATCCGGAACAAAATTTTGATTTTATTTCTGTTTTATTTTTATATTTCTTATTCGGCGAAAATTTTTTGACGCATTCTTTCGACTCTTTAGAATATTGCAGATTTGAATAAATCATTACCAGCGAAGAAGAAAAAGTGTGTCTGAAATTTGCCGAGTGTACTTAGTTGCGGTATCAAAATCTCGAATTCATTTGGACAGCACTTATCGGAAGGTGAATGACAAGTGAGATCAATCGCCGTCACCTTCGGTGTGAATCAGTCATCGCGGTGCGATTACCTCAAACTCTCTTGGGAATCGTTAAAGCGTCTCTTCGAAGTACTCCGTGCGGAATGTCTGATCAGCGACGCACGATCCACCAACGTGATCTCCATACAATCACCGTACGATAACGCGGTATAGTTCAATGTTCACGTTACAATGCGATCACTCTTTTTTCCGACGAGGGAACTCCGTGTCTACTCTTTTCGGCAGATCTATCTCAAAGATGAAGTTGCTGAGCCCGAACTCGCGTCGGCCAAACGACGAGTCCGCTCAGCAGCAGCAGCAATACTAGATTTTCCCCTCGGACGCGGACGCGTTTGACGTGTCCACGATTAGTTACGCTCTCGTTGAACTCCAGAAGCGACGAGTGTTCCGATCATTTCGTAGAATTTGACAACGTGGAATGACGATCGGATTCCCGCCTCCGGAAGTAATGGGTAGCGCCTCGACGGCTGGAAGAGAACGTCGGCAAGCTCCTAGACGAGCGGCGAGAACGCGGACGCCTGGCTTCTGATCTCTCTGTGCTCCGACGGGCTGAGATCCAGCAACGCGCCGCAGTTCTGGTCGCTGGCCGCTTGCTTGCCGATGAGCGCGTCTATGCTGAAGTTCCGCTTCTTGTCGACGCTCGTGTGGCTGGCTGGTATCGTCGTGACCCTCGCGGGGGCCGGGTCGATCTGTCTGATCGGGGGCGCCGTGATGGGCACCGGTTTGTAGAGCGGCGGCGGCGGCTCCAAGAAGCCGCCGAGCTTCAATGCCTCCAATGTAGACGGCGAGAAGTCCAGCAGCGGTAGACCAGGCGGAGGCGACAGGTAAGCGGCTCCGGGATAGGCCAAAGCACCCGGATGACCGCCTCCGCCGCCTGGACAGGGGCCCCGATCGCCGCAGATGGCGAAGGTGGCCATGATCGCTCGGTCCCGCAGGACGTAATGCGGCGGCGGCCTCTTGTACCTCTTCCTGCGTCTCAGAAAGCTACCGTTGTCGAACATGTCCTCCGCGAGGGGGTCCAGGGTCCAGTAGTTGCCCTTGCCGGGGTTGCCGGGCTCGCGGGGGATCTTGATGAAGCAGTCGTTTAGCGACAGGTTGTGCCTGATGGAGTTCTGCCAGGCGGGGAATTTGTCGTGGTAATAGGGGAAGCGCGACATGATGAACTCGCAGATGCCGCTCAGCGTGAGCTTCTTCTGCGGCGATTGCAGGATTGCCATCGTGATCAGCGCAATGTACGAGTACGGCGGTTTGATCAAGGACGACGACATTTTGTCCGAGCCGTATCCGGAGGGTTGAGCGGAACCGCTGGATTTCTGCTGACTCGACGCCGACATCATCGAGTACGTCTTCTTGGAGCGTCCGCTACCGCCACCGCCGCCGCCTCGACTTCTCGCCGGCGTCGGCGTCGGGGTCGGCGTCGGTACCGGGGAGCTCGGTATCACCGGGCTCGACGACGACTGCGACGGCGACAGATCGTTCTTGTCGAGACTCACCGGGTCCACGATCATGCTGCTGCTGTCGGAGTCCCGGTCGCTGTCCGCGCAGCCGTCGCACGACAGGTTCGACATCATCATCGCACGTGGCTCCATCGTGATCGCCTCATGAGCGTAAGGGCCCGAGATGCTGTCTATTTCACCGACGGCCCCGTGACCGAACATTTCAGACTACCGCTCCTTCTCATCCTCCGTCAAGTGTCGTTTTTCTCCTAACGAGAACCCCGAATTCTAATTATCGGCGTGCATCCTTTCCGTGGAAAACACTTTTCCGTGAAGATTAATCTGTATCTTAGATCAATCGCTGCGAGTGGTCCCGTCAAAGTTTTCACTCGCGAAGCATTTTCACCCGATAAAAATTATACGAATTTTATCAATTCTCGGCCAACGTAGTTTCTGGGAACAAATTCTGCCTGTTAACACATAGATAACATATATCTGATACGTTAAGCCTCCACGAGGTCTCTTCGGTATAAACAATCGCCGTTCCCGGAACGCTATCGAAGGTCTCACTATGAGGTACAAACTTCGATCTCCCCTTCCTGGATAAGAACTGTCCTCACGAGCGGTAAAAATATGTTCTACGAATCATTCGCTGCCGGGAAGTACACGCGAGTAACTTCTGTTCCGGTGTGCTTCGGCGCAGCGACTGTCACACATCTATTCTATCCGCTTGACAAGCGTGCTATCTTACGCTAATAGTTTGTTTCCACAACGATAACGGGATTTTTCTCTCGTTTTCCCCTGCTTCTTCGTCGTGCACCAACTCGCGATCTCAAACTGCGTCGCACGCGTCAGTCCCGCGCACCGTCAAGGATGTTTCTCGCGGTTCGTCTACGAGGACACGTTCCATCGTTCCACCTTCTTCCATCGACGTTCTTCTAACCGGAACCCGACGGACCTTTCCAAGCGGATCTCGCTATCACGAGATCGACTGACTTTTCCCTTCTTTCAGAAACAGACACTCGATGAGCAGCTTTTAACCCGGACTAAATTAATCCGCCGAGTTCGCCTCGGTATCTTCTCCTGCCAACTCACTCGCTACAAAATAATCTCACACGACCGGTTCTCTTCGTCGGAGGGAACGGACCCTCCACGATCTCGACTTCGATGAAATTGTTCTTCAGGGCTCGACTTCGGTGGTTTACATCGAAACTCCGTGTACGAATCATCCGCGACGTCCTCGTGAGGCTTCGCGAGCCTTTCTCGCTCTTGAACTTGGCGAACGGAGAACGCGGTAGTTTTCGAGGTTAAGACGATCAGCACGGGGACGTTGCGAGCCCGCAGACGACGACGGCGAAGGGTGAACGCGATCGCGAGCGTAGGATCGTCTACAGGGTGAGATCGAGGCTCGGATTGATTCGACGTGGCCGCTCCGGTCCTACGTGGGCGGACCAATGGGCGGGCGCTTCAACCCCCACGTTCTCGCACCCCGTTAGACGAAGCCACCCCACCGTCGCCGAGCTCGGACCGACGCGTTTCCACCCTGGCTGGCGAGGGTGGAGGAGCGGCTACGTGGTGACGAGGAGAAAGCCCCGGAGGGGGTTAGGACGGGAGTTAGGAAAATAGCGGGATAGTTAAAGGGACTTTCGAGGCGGGGGCCCGGGGCTTGGGAGGGCGAAATTGTAACACTCCGGGGGCTGATTTGCTTTGAGCGGCGGGATGAAGGTGGAGGAGCGCGAGCCGCGAGCGCGGATCTGCGAGCGATCGCGAGCGAGCGAACGTTCGCCGACGACGCGACCTTCGTGCGAGCGATCGCTCGCGGATACCAATTTTGCGACGAGGTCGCGTTCCTCTTTTTCTCTTCTTTTTATTTCTCTCTCTCTCTCTCTTGCTCTCCTCCCCCCTCTTTTTGTTGCAAACGCCGCAACCAGAAAATGTTTTCCACGTTCGATATGATCATTAAACGCGAACCCCGCGTATCAACGCATACATTTTATGAAGTGTCAGAAAGAACGACGTTGCCCGAATCCGTTGGTACTTGATTGCCGTAGAGATTGCAGTTAAATCAAGGCTCAAGAGAGATGTCAGATATAAACAACGCCCAAATATTTTCGAATATGTCGCGTCCGCCCTCACATGGTATTATTCTCTTTGTCCGCTCAACTCGACGCTACTTTTCTACTTCGAATAACTTGATTTATGAGCGTACTCTTGTACCTTCGATCGTTTAAGTTCGAAGGCTACCCCTTGACCTCAAATATCAAAGTCGACTGTAATTCTTTATGGAGTAATTCGTCGTTAAAATTAAAATTGCGACGACTGTAAAACGGTACGGTTATTCTCAACTCACCTCCGAGACCAAACATCGCGACAGCAGCGAGATGCGTGCATCTCCGCCTTTTTTATTGATAATCTGTAAAAAGCAACTCGACGCGACGCTGCGCAAAGGTTAAGGATATAACTAAGCGCCATTATCGCGTCGCATTTTCATCGTGGGAGCGCTGCAACCAACGACTAGATCCGTAGAATCGCCAACAGAGCGAGACGAGCTGCACGCATCACAAGTTAACTTCCCTGAGGCGGCTCAAATAGAATCTGTATTACGCCATAGCGGTACATAGAGAGAGAGAGGGACAGAGAGAGGGAAGGAGGGTGAGAGCGAGCGGCAGAGAGATGAGGGGGAGGGAGCAAAAGCGAGATCACGCGAGGGGTGAGAGACGAACGCGAGGAGCACGCGAATGTACATTGGGCGTCATAAATGCCTCAACATTTGCTAAACAGGCTCTAATCGAACCCGCCTCATCGTGTATAAATATCGATGCAGCCGACACGTGTCAAAGTCAGTCGGCTGTTGCTCAGTTTTGATTATTTCTCTTCACGTACATCGCACGTGTATAGTATCGTGAAGATGTTGCATGAATCACGAATAAATATCTGATGATGCGTCAAAGAAGAATTCATCCGATCAATTATAGAAGCCACGTGGGTACGAAGTTAAGGTTGCCACTAAATTATCTGAGCTCTTCGTTTTAATTTAATATTCGAGTCACTTCGACGCATCCTCTCCCGAGTACGTTCCCGCATTCGCGACGCCCAGTGTACCAGCGAGAGAGCAAGAGAAGCAGAGACGGGGCGTCCGCTGTGAGGGACGGAAACGGCAGAACCGCGATATATAGACGCGGATGCGAGTCTACCTGGGCGCACTATCGGTTCACAGAACCGAGCCGAGAGCGAATATTGTGTTTACCTGTACGCATGGCTTTGCGGTGCCAATAATCTGGTATTATTGCACTTACTCCACGTACGAGCGAAACTCTTCGGCAACTACAGCGCCCGCCGCGCTCTCACACGCTTCCGCTTCTTTGTCGCGCTCTTCGCGCGTCGGATTTCAATATCGCTCGTGCTAATGTTAATGTCGCATATTGTGCCGTTGTATCTCTGAAAACCTACAATGCGAGATGCGCGAGCGAAGATTATTATTATTATTATTCAAGAGTATCGCAGTATCCATTCGAACACTTCACTTCCGATCGCTTATAATTCGCGAGCTGACTTGACGCCTCGACGTTCTGGAACAACGACGCATTTCGCGAATCGAAAAAATCAGCGAAAGGAGAAAACGGAAGAAAAATTTGGCTGCATTAACCAAAACAACCAGATGCGTTTTGGTCGAAGGAAACAAAATTTCTGGTCTTTGATGACCCAAATGTAATTCTTATAACCAGAAATTAGGTTTCCTTCAGCCAAAACGTAGTTGTTCCATTTCTAATTAACGCAACCAAACTTTCTTCCCGTGGAACATATTGCGGAATCTCCGGAATCGCGAACGCCAACAACGTTCCAACGTGGTCAACGTTGAAACCATTTTTTATTTTTAGCAGATTTATTTATTTTTTCGGAGTAACAATCACGTCTTACAGCGCAAAAGAAATGAAGTCGTTCACACGGCGCGGCAGTAAAAATATTTTCAGGCGGTTCCGCCGGCGTCCTCTTTCTTTCGCGCGCGAATATCGACGGAAAGGTGTCGGAAGAGCTCCGCCTTTCCGTCTCCCTTGCCGATTCAGCGATTACCGCCTTAATCTCAAGTTCTGGTTAGGTTAAGACCGACGGCAGAATGGGAAGGGGGAGGCGCGGAGCCGGTATAGAACTCTTCGAGGTTCGCCATTCACTTCGCGGCGGATTGCGGATTCCGAGAGTTCCACCATTCGATTCGATTGCTTCTTACCCTGGACTCTCGCCGTTCCTCGTATTTACCTCCTGATTTCTTCCCCTCCCCTCTCGCCCTCTCTCACCCGTACTACCCTCGGACGAAATCTTGTGGAAATTCCAGAGCGAACCGCGATCGGGTGTCGACTTTATACTCGCGGCTACGAAACTACGAACAGCGGAGGAAACTCGTTCGTCGGTTTACTGCTGTTAGACTCGACAGATCGCTGATTCGATTTGGCCAATTTTCGTGGGAACCGATCGAACCGCTTAATATAAAAGCTCGACACCGAAGCGCGATACCCACACACACAGTTTCTACTCCGCAGTGAAATACGAGCTCTTCAGAGATACTCGCGCCTTTCGCGCATCGCAAAGAGACTCGCGGATTTAAGGAAGCGCTGACGCATCTTACATACATACCGACCTAAAATTCTCGATTTCTCTCTCCGTCTCTCTTTCGCGAGAGAGCGACGCGTCGAGAAATCGAGCGCAGCCGCAGCCAGCCGCCGCTTTGCGGTGACCCCAGTATGACGCGGAGCAGCACAAAGCCCACAAAGGGATTTTGAAAGAGAAGAAGAAGAAGAGAGGACGCGAAGTCGCTAAGAATCGTGGAGGAGCGCGAGCGGCGAAAGAGCGAGTGTTTACCGGCGGAAAGGGACCGCACTGCGATGCGGATAATTCGTCGTCGTCGTCGGCCCTTCTCACGAAAAGCCGGCGAGATTATACCGCCATCTTGGATGTTGGTAAATATCCCGTGTCGAAAGAGCCTCCAGTCGGTCGAGGGATCCAGGCGTGGGCGGAGAAGTAAGCCGCCGCTACTACTAGCCGCTCGTTGTCGAAGAGACGGTGGTGGTGACGATGATGTTAGTAGTGGTTGTCGTCGTCTTCGTCGTCCCGAGGGTGTAGGAGGTGCCGTGCAAGGAAATCGAAAGCGCCGGGGAGGGGGAAAACAAGGTGGGGGTAGTGCGGAAAGGTAAAGAAGTGCGAAGAGGTCTTGGCGGCACAAGGCGAATATCCCCCGCTACAAAGAATACTGTCGGCTTTGCACCTTTTCCAAGACGTCGTTTTCCCGCTTCGTCGTGGATTCCCCCTTCCCTTTCCTCCTCCTCCTTCTACTGCTACTTTCCTTAGTCGAGAGCCTCGGCCGTACCCCGTCCGCCACCGTCCGTCTCCACTTTTGTCCACCCATCCCCGCTCGTCGTTTTGCCGCACCGCGTCGAGAGAGAACAGCCATTTACCTATGCGGTGCAGAGACGGTAAACCGGAGATTCGCCTTGTCGCGGCCGAATCGTCCGCATGACGCATCGTGGCCGTTTGTATACGACCACTTGCCGGTTTTCGGCTCGTAACGCCGGTGTACTGACGCGAGCGTTAACGACAATAGAGCGGCGACACTCGACCGGCCTCGTCTCGATCGATTTCGAATTATTCGGACGAAGAAATTTAGTTCGCTACACCGGCAAGAAGAGGTACACGGATAGTTATCGAGTTATTACGCGGCTCACCCCGTATATTGTCTCATTCGATTTCGCGCAGATTGAAGAAAGACGGGCGGCAGGGGTCCGGAGAGGAACCCCCTCGACGGCCCGATTGCGGTGAAGCCGCGATCCGAATCTGAAATTCAATTCAATGCAAATTTGCCGGCGGGGAGCACACTTACGGCCTATCCGGCGAACGAGATCGAGGATTCGTTGCTCGGGACGCGGTAAACACTCGACGCTTTTGCGAGACTTATGAAATATTGATGGACACATCGTTGGCGCGCGACGCTAACGATGCCATCGTCATTATGTAAGTGGGAAATACTTGACGGACGAATTACCAGCGATCGCAGCTTTTTCACGGGGACACTCCATTACCGCGCCTCTCGTTGCGAAACGCCGCGTCGCACGATTCGCCGGTTATCTCTGATGAATGAATAATAAACGAAAGTTCGTGAAAATACCGAACGATTGTTCTCAAGATTTATTATGATAAACCTCTCGCAGTCTTTTGAATTAATCATTATTCGGGAAAATCGCGATTTATCATTGATGTATGTCGTAGAAATTAATCTGCGAGCACCGATGATAGCAATTTTTTTCGAAACTGCAAATTTGTCGATTTTAATTAGAAATGTAGAAATGTAGAGATTTCCAAATTTCGTATTGACAAGTTAGTCGATTGCGCTCGCATGTATCACTTCATGTATCAGTATTGCAGTTATCAGTCACAAACTATCTTTTTCCCGGGATTTAAACTACCGCAGGTTCCACGGTTGTTCAGCCGGCGTTTGCGAGCTTTCCCAGCTAAAGCAGCTCGTCCGAATTCCGTGAAATCGGATTCCAAGATCACGCTGTGTCTTCGCGAGTCACCCGGTAAAACGTATCGCGTTCTAACGAAATAAAACGCCGGCGGGTATCGCAAAAGCGTTCGCGGACGCGCACGGCACTCGAGCAAAAAGGGGGCATGCTCTCTCGAGCACGTGGGGAGAGTAGACGGGCCAACGATCCCAATTACAAACATTTCTCGTGGCTTTTCAGAGTTGCATTTGGCCGAGGAGGGCGCGCCGCCGTCGGGGTGCATTTTATAGCTTCCGCCTCCGCGCCCGGCCGGCCGCCGAAAGTACTTTTCGTTTTCGAGTATGTACGAGCACATGCGGGTTGATCTTCTCTTCTTCAGCCCCGCGATTCTGCAGCTTTCCGCCCCCTGTGCGTCACCTTACGCGCAAAAGCGTCGCGTTTTGCGCTCTGTTCACTTCGCTTCACTAACACCGCGTACGACGAGATCGTTTTGGAATTATTCGTTTCGGTTAACATTATCCACATCTTGAGGGCAACACCGCGAACCTGACGTTACTTTTACGATACATTCGGACGTTTCCGACTTTTCGTAACTAGTTTACATCACCACGAAATACGCAGTTAATATATATTTGATTTATTACTTTCGTTTTTACGAGGGATTTTAATTTCCGTAGTGACCAGCACCGCCGTAAAAAGATTGTCCTCAGAAGTCCAAAGTTCGCTCTTTTCTCCACGAAATCTAATCAGTCATCCGACGATGGCTGCAAAAGCACGCAAAACAAATCATTTATTTTAGGATATACAACATAGCAATTGTTTTCGTGATCTTGGAGAGCATTGAATTTTTGTACCTTTACCGCATGTTGAAATTCACGATGGAACGTCGAGAGAGGGGGTGAGAAGCGCGAGAAATACGTAGAACGAGGGAGAAAGAGAGACGAGGGTGAGACTAGCACGGTAAGGCAGGGCGGGGGTGATAATTTGTTAGCGTGCGCGCACCCCAAATGCGCGAAATCCCGTCGAAGTGCGGCTCGTGGGGCGCATTGTTTCCTTGTTTGCCAGGTGTTTCAAGCACCGTGGCCGAGTGGAGGCCGCGCCATTGTTGCGAGAAGTCGTGCCAGCCGTTCTCGACAAAGCAGGCGATCTAATGCTCTTTTATTGTGCATTGTGCGCTGCCGAATCAAGAAACGGGGTGGCGGTACACGCGCGGGAGGGATCTGCCGTTCGAAGATCCGTCGACGACGTCGATAACGATGTCGCCACCTGATCGACGCCTGTCAACGCCTGTATTATCTGTCAGTTTGTTTTCATCGGTCGCGAAGAGAAAGAAGGACCTCGCGAGAAAACGAGACGCGCACGTCTGTAAGGAATTGCAAAATGCTACCATATGACAGAGCCCTCTGCGGGCTCTCTGAAATGATTTTAATCTTTAATTTTATTAATTTTTAACTTTTCCGACGAGAGAGATAAAATATTTCTGTGATGAAAATAATAAATAAACAGATAACCGAATTTTGACAAATAATCTGAGATTGTGCACATTCCTTGTTGCGTGAATGATGATTGGTTTCTTCTTTTTCATCAATAGAGATTAAGGACGCAATCACATACTTACGTGATTCTTATCTTGCACGTCAGCTCTTAAACGAAAGTTAGTAATCAAGCAGGATCCCCACAAAGGCAGTTTCACGTATGGCAAAGATTTATTGTATCATAGTTGGGTACTTAAATGAAATTCCAGAAAAAGAAAAGGAACATATATCCTTAATCGTCGTGAAAGTAATCGTCACATACATCGATCTTATCCGCTTGCCGTCAGAAGAGAGTCACTTCTTGCAAAGCAAATCAAATCAAATTTCGTTCTAATGAATTCTCCTTTGAGACACGAGGTGTAAGTTTATCATTTGCATTCATACCATTAATGTGACACAGAGAGACTAATACGGTCTTTTAGGCTCGATTATTTATCGTTTTCGGAGAGCGATTCTCGACAGGAAAGCTTTCGAGTGTACACAGAGCGTTGAAAAGCCTTAAAATCGTCAAATTATTGTTTTCGTAATTATCATTCAGTTTGCCGAAGACACGCCACGTGTCGCCGACACGCTCTCTTTTTCTTGTTTTCATTTTTATTTTATACAATCTCCGCTACGATTTCTTTCCGTCGTCGACCATCGCAGACTCGCAGTAAAAGTATCTACACGATCTCTCAAAAAGTCGCATGTAAAAACAGCGTGGTTTGGATTTGCACGATTATATGTATATATATATAATTGATCGTCTGCCGTATTAACAAATTCCACGGATTTTGGGACAAGGGGAATCGAATTGCCGTATTGAAGCGGTATTGTCGTTATCATTTTGACGCGTAATCGCAATTACAGTGTCGGGTAATCATTAAACGATGATAAATAATTTACCACTATTATTACATAAATACAATACACAGTGTAAAATGTCGGCGTGATCGCTGAGTAATTGTTCGGTGACTAGTGTAAAATACTCGTCGATTGAAATCATGCGAATAGAGGAGCGAGGAATTGCAATAAACCTTGGCAAACGGCGCGTCCTGCGTGTAAATCCGGATTGGATTGGAAAAATTGCAGAGCGACTTGGATCTTTATAACTTGAAACGTGTGTACGTCGTACGAAAAACCGATACGTACGCTCACGTATATCCTGTTTTACACTTACTACAACAGGCAATCTTCATTCGTGATCTCAGAGAACAGGGAGTAACATACATTCAAGCCACAAAGAATACGTTTTCCGGAAATAGCAAACGACATTGCAACATTGTATATCGACCAACCGTCGTATCGTGTGAGATACGATTTCTCGGATGAGCTTTTCTCTCCAATCCGGCCTTATTCGCATAAAAATGCTTCGTACTCGCGCCAGTTTGGTCGACTAGACGCTAAAATACGACGAACGCAACATAACAGTCATGCGTGTGAACGTAATTCTATCTTTCTCGAGGTCTCTCTCGTGCGCGAGAGCGATTTCTCGGTAGCGTAACCGAACGACGAATCGAAGGGGAGCTTGCAGAAGAATACACATCGTCGTCGATGCGAATGCCTAATGCAAAAAGTATATAATCGATCCGTGCTAGTTAAAAATGTATAAAAATCATGTTTTGATTTCCCCAATACGCGCGCTATTAGTTGCGATAGCTTGACCTTTCTCGCAAAGCTCCCAACGCAACGGTTGCGCACGTGACTAGAGTCGTTCGTTCAGACGGTTACAATTGAACCGCATTCTGACGCTTGCCGTGACGACGAAGCAACCGTATCGTTGTTGCGTTACGACATGATCCTGTCAAATTAAATGACAATTAACAATCACGCAACTGTAGGAAATTATGTAGAATCTCTTTGCATACAGAGAGATAGAGAAAAAGAGAGAGAGGAGGGGGAGAGAGAGAGAGAGATCCTAACATCAACTATATTATATACAAATTCGTTAAAACAGTGACTAGTTCCTTCGGAAACGGTTGTGTATGTCGGATTAATCTCATATAGTCGGTAATCTCGAACGGAATGATTTGAACGATCGTCGACCTTCAACGACAGATCTTGAAACTGACATTCTCGGCTCTTTTCTCGCGACTGAAACGATCCTACTTCCGGGCGAAACGCGTGGATGTCCTAAACGAATCCGGAGCATAAAGTTTTACAACGAAATCTCGTAATAATATCAAATCGACGGACCAGAACAGATCTCCAGAAGAATGAGTTTCATGGTGTGAGACAAGCGCGGCGAAAGTTCACTATTAACAATACTTCCGAGGACGTGCGAGCAGCGCACGCAAGCACTCACGCGACGCGTCAATTTCGCTACGTTAAAATTGCTCTAGCTGGGTTCGACGAGAACGAAGTATTGCCGTAGCGAGGCTTCACCGTTCCTTCACGATCCGCCGACGTATCCCGGGCGCGCGACGGAAACGTCCCAGTGGAGCGTCACCGAGCGCTCAGCGCGGGGTTTCCCTCCCTTCCGTCGCTCGTCGCCGTCATGGCTCGGGGAATCAGTTGAAGAAATCGTCGCCGTCGAACGGGTCGCTCTCGCGTGCAAAAATGTTGACCGATTCCGACTTCCTGATGTACTGGTCGCTCCTGCTCGCCTTGTTATTGTTATTATTGTTCCCCGGTCCGTACTTCTGCCTAGAATTTTTCAAGGGCAACGTGGTGGCACGATGGTCCGGCACGTTGTCCTCCAGCTCGGATTTGAAGACGAAGGCGTCGTCGTCGAACCTCAGGTCGCCGTTGAAGAAGGAGTCGCGGCCGCTGTCTTCGGAGACGAAGCCGTCGATCGGCTGCTGCGGCTCCTTCGTGTCGCTCGGCAACTCCTCCGGTGTGGCTTTCAGGTCGGCGGACAGCCTCTGCCTGTCGGAGGCGTCGCTTGAGGCGCTCGCCGTCGGCGTGAGATCGTCCTCGAAGTAGCTCGACCGCTTGCTATACTCCCTGCTGATATCTCTCCTGGGATGATCCTTCGGACATCTGATGCCGGACGAAGGACTGGGTGGTGGTGGTTCTCGCTTCTGATCGGCGACCTCCGCTCGTATACGCGTATCTACCGGTGCCAAGGGCTCGACCGGACCGGCCGCTGCCGGCTCCACGTGCTCCACGCTCTGCGCGAAGTCGTCCTCGAACGGGCTCTGTGTCTTTTGGCTCGGTCGCGTTTTGTGCCTCGCTATCCTCTTGCGATGGAACGTTTCGCTCTTAGAATCGGGACCCTCCGACCAGTACGGCCGTTCCACCCAACTGTCGTATTCCTGATCGCTACCCCAGTAACTCTCGCGGCTTCGGGAGCGTTGGGAGGATCGCAGGCCCAGATACGGGTCCGAATCGTTGTCGCTGCACTCGGACCTGAAGTAGTGCTGCCGTTATAACCCGAGTATTTGCATACCTGAATACCTAGATAGTATCCGAGACTTACGGACGCTACCCCGATATCCGAGCGGTAAGCAATTATACTAGTTGCGTCGCGAACATTTAGCAATCGAGACAAACATTTTACGTCATTCGGCCACTTAAAAATCCTTCTATATTTGTTCATTATTTCTTATCTTAAAGAAAATCGATAAATAAGTAACGTTTGAAATAACCGGACATTCGGGGGAATCTATACGGAAGAAAAAGCTCGGTCGACTGAAGAGCGACTGGATGAAAACTCGGCGACAAGAAATGACAAGAAACTGAAAACATTTGTGTGAGCATTTTCTTTTCTTCTCAGTTGCATTAAAACTCGATTGAGACAACTGAGAGCGATTGGCTGAATAGTCCTCGGGTAATAAAAGATTCAGTTACCATACCAACGGAATCGTTTTTCCCATGCAGATACGTGAAATTAGCCAGCACTAACCTGGAAGCGCCGAATTTACGCGGGTCCGCGTACACCATGTCGGAATTGCGACCCTCGTTTGCGCTATTAGGTCTCTTCGGCCAGTGCCTCTTCCTGCCTGCCGGATTATACCTAGGCGAGTCGTCCCCTGGACGCTCCGGACCATACTCTTCGTCCCAAGTGGACGGGTAGTCGTGAGGTCTGTCGCGGTAATAGTAGTACGCGTCTCTCATCGGGTAATCAGCGTCGGGCGGGCCTCTTCTCGCCCAGAATCTAGGGTCCTCCTCCCACCTTCGCCTGTCGTACCTCCTCCTGCTCCATCTGTCCTCCTCGTCGTAACCCATGCTCTCTTGACTACCGAAACGTTCCAGCTCCTCGTTCCACAGCATCAGCTTCCGTTTGCGCTCATCGTCGTAGTAGGAGCCGTGAACGTCATGGCTCCAGTTGCAACGACCCTGCGGCTTCGGTCTGCATTTCCAGTGCGCCTCATACTGATCCTCATCGTCCTTGTAGGGCACTTTCCTGTGCGGATACCGCCTCGGCTCGTCTTCCCATTGACCCTCCTCATGCCAAGGCGAAGGATCGCGCGGTCGGTGGCCAGTGCTTTTCGTCCAGGGTGCCGCCCGCGACTTCCTGCCCATCCTCTCGCGGAAGCTGCGATCGCGCTTATCGCCCTCCTCGTAGAACGACCTCTCCTCGAAACCCGGCGCGTCGAAACGCGGATGTCGCGAGCCGGACCAGAACCTGCCGTCCCCACGCACCCTACCGTTGCTCTCCTCGCTCTCCTCTTCGTCTTTCCATTCGTTGTCGCTGTCACCGGAGTGTCGATATCCGCTGCTGCCTTTGAACGGCACTTCCCGGTGGAAATCCTTACCGTCGGGTGACCACGGCGAAGTACCGCCTATCGACCGTTGTCCTTCGCAGGACGACCTGTCCGAGCCGAAGATGCTCGTGTCGAACTTGGCCCAGTTACCGTCTTCTTTGTCGTCCGGCCTCGACGACGTCTCCGTGAACGGACAGAACACATCCTCGAAGCCCGACGACGTAGACGGCTTGGTGTCCTTGGCGCGATGCGTGCCGGTATTCAACATTTTGATCTCCTCGAAGATGTCCATCGCCACGGTCTTCAGGTCGTCGTCCTTCTTCACTGATATGTTCGGACTCGACGGCGGCGGCAGGTTATCCGAGAACAGATTCAACAACTCCACCTCGGCCAAGCTCTTCGGCTGAGTCGATTGCGGGAGTATCACCGGCGACGCTCGAGCGGAGCTCATCATTTCCTCGTCGTCTTTCTTCATCGGCGGTTCCGGCTCACCGATGATCTCCCGCAGGGCGGCGTACCTGTCGCTCGACGTCGACGCCGAAGACTTCACCTCGGAGGACCTCTCAGCCACGGAGGAGCCGTTCGTCTCTTCGTTGAGGATGTCTGAGCCTACTTTGTCGGACGTGTCGTTAGCGTCGCTGCCTTTCTCCGAGTTCTCCGCCTTCTCCTCCACGTCCATGATCGTCTGCGTCTTCTCTGTGTCGTCCTCGACGTCTATCTCCGTTTGTTGGACCGTGGAAGAGTCGGACGTCACGTCCACCTCCGCCATCGCTTCGTTCTCCCTTTCCGCGTCTTTGTCTTCCGCCGGCTTTTCTTTCTCCACCATCGAATCTACGAAAGAGCCGCTCGTATCGTCGACGAGTCTTCCCACGGGTTCTTCCTTTAAGAGATCTTCGCTCTTGGGCGGTAACTTCACGGTCAGATTCACCAAAGAAGCTATGGAGTCCGAAGTGCTCTCGACTGCCCGCATTTCCGGCTGGACCTCCACTTCGTCGGAAGAAGCTCGCCCTTCGTTCGATTCCTCCTCCGTCTCTTCCATCATAGCCTCCTCGTTCCGCTGCTCCATCTGCTCCATCTCCAGCAGCTCTCGGAAGACCGCGTATTTGTCGTACGTGGCGTCTTGCTTCGGCTCCGACTCGCAACCAGGCTTGAAGGGCTCCGAAGACAGAAAAGACGTCGTCTCCAGCGGCTTCGACATCACGGGCTTAACTGGGACCGTTTGCTCTTTCGTCGTACTCGTCGTCGATTGCGGCGTGACACTTTCTTCCGTGTCTCCAGTAGCCACCTCCTTCGCCGTCAAATTCGCCAGGCACTCAGTGAGCTGCTGCAAGGTCAAACTCGTCAGCTGCAGAACAGTCATTTCGAGACTGGAAGCCAAGTCGTCCAAATTCGACGACGTCAACTGACTGAGAGTGATATCGAGCGACGGCTTAGTCTTCTTCGATTCTACCGGCGCGGCGGTGCTACCGGTGAAAAGCGAAGACAACGACGCGGTCGGTATCATCGAGCTAAAGGAGTCCTCGAAGGCCGAGGTGGTCATCGTGCTGATAAAATCCGATCGAGTGGGCATCTGCGGAGGCGGGCTGAAGTTGTCGTCGAACTGGCTCTTCAGCTCCCTCGGCGGACTCTTGTTCCTGTCGGCGATGATCCTCGTGGGTGACGGCGAGGCCTCGCGCTCCGGGAAGTCGTAGTGAAAGTGTGTCCCACCGCCGTGCGGAGGTCTAGGTGGCGGTCTCATTCCTCCCCTGGCACCTTGCTTCTTCGGCGGTAACGGCGGCGGATTGATCATGATACCACCTGCGTCTCTGGGCGGCGGCTCCGGCGCCAGATCTAACTCCGCGCTCGAGCTGGAGAGTCGCGAGTTCGCGTCCGACGAGCAAGACCTCAGCGGCGACGCCGGAGACTCGTTGGTCGCCGAGAAGTCCACCGGGAACGGCTTGCTGTCCATCGTCTTGCCGGCTGGCAGATCGATGTCGAATTCTCGCTTCCGCACGGACTGCAGGTACTTCTTCGGGCTGGGCAGCTTCACCAACGCGTGCGTCGATTCCGTCGAGTCCCTCTCCATGCTTCGCACAATCGAGCTTCCCGAAGCGTTAGTGGACGTAACGGTGGTAGTGGCGGCGCTTTTGGGTAACGGCGTCTCCTCCGGCGGAAGAGACACCGAGAGCGGCTGATGATGCGTCGACCTCGTGACGATCTCCTTCTTCGGCGGCGACTCGACCCTCTTCTCCGACGAGGTCTGACTTCTCGCCTCGTTCTCGTCGAATCGGTCGAAGTTGGCGAAGTTGCTCTCCTCGCTGTCCTTCGTGCACGGCTCATTCTTCGTCGAGTCCAGGCAGCTGGTCGTGGTGGTGATGTTGAAGTTGGTTGGGAAACTGTCGCTGGAACTCGTGGACACCAGGTCCTTCAGGACTTTCTTCGGTGGATTCTTCAGGTTTTGAAAGAAATCTTTCTTGTCCACGTAGGGCCTAATCAAGCCGGTTCCGAGGGGATCGAGCTCCGTAAACACGTCGATCTGTGGGCTCTTCGTCTGATTATTGCGCGGCGTAGTCTCCGCTGAACTCTGTGAAGAAGGCGTCATGTGAAACCGTTAGGCGGCCATTAGTCTTTAGTGAGTTTCTTGGCGAGCTGACAGACCATAGTTGATGACGGTTGTAACACCGTTATCGTTGCAAGCTAATTTTCTCAGAAACGACTCGGCGTTATTTTTCTCACTCGTAACAATAACGCAATTACATCTTTTAGTAATGACAACGGATGAACTGTTGTACTTGTGCATGTAGAATTCGGCAGCGAATTGTGTAAAGGAGTCTTTAAAACTTGGTTAGGAAGGTAAGGGGAATCGTAACGGCTCCGTTACTTCTCGAGTGAATTGTTCTGAAGAAATAACTTTCCCAATCCGACACTTACGTCCTCCTGCTCCTTCTTCGGCGTCGTCGAACTCTTAGTCAGGCCCGCGAGCTCGTTGTCGTTGAAAAGGTTTTCGGTCTCCTTGTCGAACCAGTGAATCGTGCTCTGCGGAGGTGGCGTTTTGCTAACTAACGTCGTCGCCGGGCTGGAAGTAGCCGACGCTGGCGGTGCCGGCACGGTGTGCTGTCGCTCCAGGTGCCCTCTCTTCGCCGAGGAAGGGGGCGGTGGCAAGATCGGACGAACTGTCTCTTGAAGCTATAACAAGTACAGAGCCACGCGGTTAAAACGTGACGCACATGAGGCGTCTAGTTTCAAAAACGATCGAGTCGATTTTGGCGAAATAGTCATTCGCACAAATTTCCATTCGCGTCAGCCGGGAAAGCTCGCATTTTCAGAAAATAAAACGGACTCGATCGTCACCGAAGTCTAGCTCCTCATGCAATGATGAAAAAAAAAAAAGGAATGATTCCCCGTCATCGATAGTAAGATCACAATCTCGTCTATTTGCGTGTTAGATGAAGAAGACGTTTGCGTGTCGCAATACCTTCATGTTCGCGAATGAATCACCGAAAGGATCGGTCTCGAACAGATCGTCGGTAGACGGCACAGGATTTTCCGGCGTAATTTTGTCCATCTGATGGATGCCCTGCTGCAGCGAGTTCAGTTCGAACTGCAGATCCAGCAAATCCGCAATCACGCCGCTTTGCGACTCGTTTTTGCGATCGGCGGACTTCTCGATCTCGCAGTTGTTCGTACGAATTCGATGAAACGAGGACTCCGTGCCCGCTGCGCCCTGCGACAAATCGCGTTACACAACGCGTCTGGCATTTAACAGTTTACATCCTGTGTATCGCGGAACATTGCACGTCTCGTCTCGTCGTACCGTAGTTTAACCGATTCACTGTTCACCCGCCAAGATCGCGTCGCGTAGACAGCGACTGACAATTACGATCAAATGCGATTAGCGTTCACCGACTTTTGTTAGAAGTCGTTTTCGCAAACATCGGTTGGAGTTAACTTTAACCGGTCAGAGTTTTACGCTTAACTCCGATTCTTCGGTGCTTCTTCCCGAGTTGGAACCAAGAATAGTTTACTGAATTGTCTAACTTTCATCCTCCTCTCCTTCTCTCTATCTCTCTCTCTCTTCTGGTTCCGTCTTTGGGAAGAAACGCGGGATCGGTTAAAGTTAACCGGTGTTTATGGGAATGAACAATGCCGATGGACAATGATACTTGGGCCGTGCGACAAGAGGGACGTAGAAGCGAATAAAAAATACGAACAGGGAGACCCTGTGAGCCCTTGAGGACAATTTAGCCGGCAAATATCTCGGCCGCGGCAATTATTTCGAGGGACCGTACTTACCTTGGTGTCGGGCGCCGGCTCGACGAAGATGCCGCCGGTGTGGAATTTAATCGCGTTAATGGCATTCTGCTCTATGTGTTGCTTCGCCAGCTCGATCTCCTTCTTCTTCAGCTCGAACACTACTTGAAACAAGTCGCGCATCGCTATCACCACCTGTCGAAGAAATGTTCTCCTTGTCACTTCCATAGCGTGTCGTAGCGTCTACCTCGCGTATCCGAAACAAGTATCCTTCGATATTTCTTCATCGAGAACATTTTGTCGGAAGAACATGCTACTTAAACGCGTTTCATTTTTTAAGAAACTATCTCCGATATTAACAAGCTCCCTTTCCCGGCTGTCGATACTTTTCTCTCTCACGAAATTTTTAAAAGTTTGCGTAACGAATAACAGCCTTTGAGGAATAATTATAAGGAGAGGATTTAATTTTCTTCTTCGTACTTTAATCAAGGGTATCTTTTCGGAGCCTCGAGAGAGTCTCTCAGATTCTCGAAAATTTCCGCACAAACGCGCATCAGTATTCTTTGCTTCGGGGGGGAAAAAAAGCGAGGACACCGGCCACGCCCGATGGCGGTAATTTCCGAAAGCCTGTCCTTCGTCCCGCTCGTACCTTCGCCGCCTTCCGCCAACCACGAGCAACCCCTCTGTTTGCTGCGATTCCGCATCGGTTGAAACCTCCAGCAGCGCGTCAAACGCGACCGCTGTATATACGGGCTAGGAGGATTACCGAGTCGTTTACAGGAGCCGGGCGCAGAAATTAAACTTGGAAATTGAATGAAGGCGTAAGGTTGTTGAATTAATTTGCCACCTGTCGCGCGAGCTACCCGGCTGATTTCATTCTCTCGCGCGATAATCGCCGCTATTGAATTGCGAGTTGAGGCCCCGGCAATTGTGCCCCATCGAGAGTGAAAGTCTAGTCCCTCTCTCGCCTAACGCAGTTAAACATATTCCGCGATTTAATCGCGGCCAATTAGTCGTCGTAAACTTCCGTTCTGTTCGCCGCATCGCGCCTCAGCTTCGTGTCTCGCTGAAAGCTGCTCGCGAACGCGCTAATACATTACCGTGCGAATAATACCGCGCCGTTGAAACGTTCGCGGAACTATTCACTCGATCGGGACAGGCGAAATTGCGTAGGGCAACTCTGTGAAAAAAATAAAATAAAAGAAGGAGGAAAAGAAGCTTGTCCCCCCTCTCTCTTTCCTTCTCTGTATTTTTCCAGTGAATCAGATTGGGAAGACATCGGTGATGTCACGCGATCGATTTCGACGGACGAACCACCACCCCCTCGTGGTTGCTTTCGCTCGCTTGAAGCGATCTTATCCGTTGAACTAATGTTCAACCAGCTCCAAACTTCAGTATTTAACGTACAACCGTAAGACAACTCTCACGTCGACAGACGTCGTCCTTCTCCGACCGAGGACGTTCTACAAGTTGTAATCTCGACCTTTGCTCTCTTCGTCAACACGTGAGAAGGAAGCATGCAAGGTATCAGAGGGACACGCAAGTCCACTCGGCTAAACCGCGCGGTGTTCGAGCACGAAAGTGGGATACTGGCGGATTTGAATATCAAGAAGTTGTCGGGCCGATCCCTTTGAGCGCGCGCGCGCGAAGCGAACAATCCGGCAACAATCTCCCGCGGCGAAACAAGGGGAACGCGCATCGGACTCGACGTCATTCGACGAGCAGAACGGTGTAATGCAATTATTTACATACGCGTCCGGGATTACGGTCGTCGGGGTCGATATTGCTTCTCGGATTGGGCAAATATCATTCTAGACTCCCTCTAACTCTGTCCTCTCTCTCTCTCTCTCGCTCGCTACCCTTCCGCGACACAACCCCGTTCCCGATAATTGACACACTTTAACCGCGCTCGCAGACGTAGGAACGCGCACCGCCGCGAAATTGTAATCGCTCGTGCGTGCCCCCGATAACGCGCTCTCGCGCTGCGAAATCAATTCGATAGCTACCCCCCCCGCCCTCCTCGTCTTGCAGCTCGCGCCTTGATTAGATTTTCGTACGTTCGCCGAGAGCGATACGGTGAGAGGTTTAAAAGCGGCGCGCACGTGCGTAGAAGTGCGATAATCAAACGTGGATTACGCCGGTCTACAGCTCGCGCATCCTCGCGCCGTATATTAGATGGTAGCACAAAGAGTGGATTTCGGAGCGATAAGAAGAAAAAATGATACTCACCTGACTCGCTGCCTTGTCAGTCTTAATGCCGAAAAACCGGTGCCCGGTGTCGGGAGAGCCGAAAATGTAACCGAAAGCTCGCGAATCGCTCATATCCTGAGCTATGAACGATATTTTGTGCACCGGGTGATGATACAGGCAATCCTGCGGGGGATCAATAACGAAATATAGTTGTGGGTTACATGAGAAATCGACCCGACTACATTTTCTACGTTTCACGCGAACTTCGCTTCGGTCGGAAAGTTTGCTACGAAGATTCTCAACCGTCGATTTACGATTTTACTATTTGCAAATAGTATTCTGCCGTCGCGAGAAACGTGTTTCAGGTTTGCCGGACAAAAGATATACGGTCATTCGAGAGAAACGTTTATTTTCAGAGCTATGAATCAATTTTGAGATAAGTGTAAAAATACGATATCTTAGAACTCACCCCCGTCTTCTCGTCCCTCAAACGAAGCCCGTCTATGCTGACCTGAACGGCGATTCGTTGCTTGTGCTCCCCCGCGGCGCGAATCGCCATCTTCAGGTCAGCCAAGGCCGCCTGGCACATCCGGTCGCCGCGTGCTTCTGACACCTCCAGGATACCGATCAGCTTCGCCTTGAATGACACACCCTCCCCAAGAAAGCGGGTTGGGTCATTTTTGACTGAAAGAGAAACCCCGTTGATTATTTTATCAGGCATGTCTCGGCCGAGAAAGTTAAGTATAACTCTCCGGCAATGAATGAGAGAAGCGAATCAAAGTAATTCTGAGTCTATATATAATATATGTAATATGTATTCTGGGATGATATAATAATTCTATTATCATCTGCTTAATATTTTTTTTTTAGAAGAGAGGAAAATTTGCCAACCTGCAAATTCCAAATAGCTTGAAAAGCTATTTTCTGTTTCAGTCGGGAGAAACGACTTTGACTCTAAAGGTATCCCATTAGGAAGAACGTGTAATTATATTTTTATTTAAATCTCTGAAACCCCCGTGAGAGATACTTAAGAATTGTTGAGTACAAGATTTAATGTTCCATAAAACTGTGATGAAAAGTTTCCAAGTTAAGAGATCGGGTGAGCGAACGTTTTGAAAATTATTTCTTCTTCAATTTATCACAGCTAATTATCATAGTTAATTGTAACCGAAACAAAAAATAGCTGTATCATTAAACTCACATATATACCTTTCTCCTGCAGAGTTTCAGATGTTACAGAATTCGCAGACTGTCGAACTTTTCTCGTTAGATTAAATATAGTCCGAGTCAGAAGTTTAGTCATCGACTGCAATTGTTCGATAACAATGAAGATATTAACAACAACTTCGGTCTTCCGTCGGATCAAGTTTTGTCAGACAGAACTTCGTCGGGGGTGTCAACGAGTCTTCTCCGCGTTCGCAGGATGAATCGTCGCGGAAGTAACGTGAAAATGCGAGAGCCCGGAGCACGGAGAAGCGTTCATTGTAACGTCACGACGTGTGGGCCCCGCTCAGTGCGCTCTCGTGAAGGAGACTCGGATCGAATTATCGTATTTGAAGCCGCAGGAGGTCCGAAGAGAACGATCCGACGGCGATAGGTCCGAATGCGTTAAACCGATATCGATCGGTCGCGCGACCAATTTCACCGGCGGGACTATAAAATGAGAGGAACACGCTCGAGTACTTCAGCGAAGACCGGCGTCCAAATTAATCGTTCGGAACGAAACACGATAATACGGTCGATATCTATTCGCTGGCTACGATAATGACCCCTTCGCGCGTGTATATCCGCGCGGTAACGTCCGTCTGAAAAACGGAAGTGCCAATATTGTCGTTCACGCGCTCGGTAATGTTTGGCAAGGGGATTATTAATTACGACGCCGGGCGCTGAGATGAATAAATATTTGAGACGGTGCGACGAACGAACGAACGAGTCGCGCGCCTCCTTCGTAATTTCGGATAACTACGATATCCGCGAGGCTAATTGATATCAGTTATTAACGCGAAAGTGACAGCTAATTAATAGAATTATTCAATAGACTCGCTTCGCTCGCCGACTGTTTACTGCGACCGCGTTATTCGCGACGTTAATTATATTAGCGACATCGCGCGCACAAGGCGGTCGACGCGAACGAGAACACGATCGAGCGAGGGTGCGATGAGTCCCTCGGGGAGCCAAATAACGCGCAAACGGAAGAGAAACGAACGGCGCGCGTTCCCTCGCGATTCTAATGACCGAAGCTGCCGGTCGCGTTTGTTCGAGAAGGCACTCGACGCGCTTTCGAGTGGAGAACGCCAACTGTCGTGTACTCGAAGGTACACGTCCGGTACCAATTGAACCTGCCATCGAACCGCTCCTTCCGCGCGGCCGGCTTCCTTGCTCTCGCTTCGAAGCGCGCCAGATGCGCTTCATCCCCGTAACAATTATTATTGCGGCGCGAGATGGGACGAGATTGCGCGCGATGACAATGCGATCCGTGACTTCCTCACTTTCGGGCCACAACGTCGATCGTCTCTCGATCGCGGTATGTAATGTAATTATTGCCGAAGGAATTTCGATCGCGTTTTTCCACCGATCAATTAGATTTATTTATCAGAGAGAAGTGACATCGAAGACGCGCGATCGAATGTTTGATAGAATTTCCTGTCGCGACAAACGAGATGACCTTCCTCGATATTTTCGCTGAAAAGATTACTTCTCGGATATCGCTGTTCTCCTCGCTCTCCCTCGCCCTCTCTGTACTCCTCTTATTCAAACTTCACCTGTTTATTTTCGGACATCTGCTGCAGCATTTATAGCGCGCTATTCGCTGTTTTGCAAATAATTGATATTTACGTAACGGCGAGGATCGGTCGAGGAGTAAATATAGAAAAACGCTGTCGGCTGACACGACTCGTCAAGAATTTACCAGCAAAAAGTACATTTACGTATGTAACGAGCGATTTGCATTCTCGCAGTCTCCGTTCTGCGCTTACTCTATCCGTCCGATCGTTTTCGCAGTTTAATGCAAATGGATGCGCACCTTCCACGTTCGTATTTTACATATGTAAAGCTGCAAACATTCGACTCGATAACGTGTGATTAAACGACGAATGAGTCAACATGTAACATTCATTTTTTAACATTTGGAATCAATCAACATTTTCGCTAGAAATCAAATCGGCGAAGCGTCTCCCGATTCATTTTCGCGCGCAGAACACGAGACTTCCGTTCCGTCACGCACCATTGAGTCAATTAATGTTTAATCGAATAAGGAGATAAACGCGCTTTCGCGCGGCCCGCTGAAAATCCAGTAGTAATCCCGAACACGCGCACGGCACAGCTGGCGACACCTAACGCCACCCTCTCGCGTCAATCGCAACTCTCGGTCGATAACACGTGCGACGGGAAACTGCCGTTTCTCGCGCGAGCGAATTCGTCAGATTCGACGATGCGAACGAGATTCTTTTCTCTGTCAGGCCTCGCGCGTTCGCCCGGGACGCCGACGGGAATCGCGCGGCGCAACGCGTGCGAGGCGCGGCGGAGCACCGGGAAACCCGCACCTCCGCTTCGCCGGGAGAACGCGAGGAAGCCATATTACGCGAAGCACCCCTAGCGATCTACAGGGTGTCACCAGAAGCACCGTCCACCCCCGACGTCACTCTTCATCCTTCGCGGAAAATGCATTAACTCCAGCCATGCAATCGCGACGAATTGGAGAACAACGCGAAGGGAGATCCCGCGCACCACCACCACCGCCAAGTTAACCGAGGGCGAAATCGCTACTCACACTTGCACGGACTGTTTTTTTTCCGTAGGGTCTGCATCGGTGGTCCCGCGTACGCGACGACGACGACGACGACGGCGACGACGGCGATGACGACGGCGACGACGGCGACGACGACGGCGGCAACGACGACGACCAGGGAGAGCCCCAAACACACGGGAGACGACGAAATTTTTCTCTCTCTCTTTCTCTCCGTCGTCTTTCTCTCTCTCTTTCACCCTCCCCCTCTCCCTCGGCCGGTCTACCCTTCAAGGCGCACCCTCGAATGTCGCACAGTCGGGGATACGATCCTCACCACGGACGCATGTTGTAGCCCCTCTCTCTCTCTCTCTTCTTTCTCTTCACCCCGCGCACCCTTTAATCCGTAACACCTTCTCTCTTTCTCTCTCGCTCTCTGTCCGTCTCACTCCGTCGCGTTCCCCCTCGCTGGTGTCTCACCCTCCACAGCGCGTATGTATTTTCACGAGTCGACGTAGGCGCGAGACTGGCGGCGCGTATAACGCGTGTACGCGGATGCGTGTGTTACACACGCACCCACTCTTCTCCTCTTCTCTCCCTCCCCCTTCCTCCCTGTGCCGCGGTCCCCCCGCCGAGCAGCTCTCTCAGCAGGATCGCGAGGACGTACGCGCGCCGCTGCCACCGGGACGGTTCCGCGCGCGGCGGCGAGCGCGTGTATCCGCGCGCGACGTAAAAACGCGGAGGAAGTGACAGCTGCCTCCGCCGTGCCGCCGGCACGGGTCGCCCATGCTAGCCGCTCACTCTTATTGATCAATAATATACGCCGCCGCCGCTTGCCTGCCCGCTCGCCTGTCTGCGTACCTGCCCGCGTGCCTGTTTGCCTGCCTGCCTGGTACTTCGGCGTCGTCGCTCCGGGTCTCCCACGTCGTTCCCCGGAGCAGAGACACGTCTACGGCGGCGCCGACCGTCTGTCGAGTCGCGCCGCCTTCACAAACGGGCTTCGCGTTTTTTCCGATGAATTCGCGCACTCCTTCGCTTTTCTCGCTTGTCGGGTTTCTCGAATTAAATTTCAGCTCGTTAGGGTCTCCTTCGTCCAGGGGAATAAAGCTGGGGAGAGACGAGAAGGGAAGTCGGCCGCGACTTCGAACTGCACTGATTTCGATCACACTCGGAATCGAATATCGTCGCGTTTCTTTTATTGAAATTCTTGCCCAATCTTCTTTTCTTCTTTCGCCCCCATAAACAGGGAGAAATGTACTTACTCTTAGCTGGAAATTGAGGCGGGGGCGGGAACGTTGAAAGTGCGGAAAGTCACCCCCGGGCGACGCGGGCTCGTTGTACGACACTGTCGCGGGGGTGTAAAATTTCGTCGGCCCGAACTGGTGAGGTGCTCCAAGACCGTGTCACCGATTTTCCAATCGCGCTCCCTGCCAGCCACTTGTTGTATTACTTAACGATCTTTTCTCTTTGCGCGAAATTACACTACCGACGTGTATGCCGGAGAGTATTTATCGTTTGTCAACGCGTCCCCGGGAGGAAGATCGACTCTCGAACCAGTCGATTTTCCCGCCGACTAGCGCTAGCGGCCTTCTACGACCGTTAATTTTTTTAAAGACGGGCATTTCAAATAAGGAAGTTACGCTACCGCACCCTGTATATCGAAAGATTTCCGAAATATCAAAAGACAATCTTACGATATCAGTTTTGGGTTAATAAAGAGTATAGTTACCTTTGGCAACAAGAAATATATTGAAGACTTTTTTTTATATTATTATATTTTTGAGCATATCATTTCAGAAAAAAAAAGAATATCCATTTTAACAGGAATATATATTAAATCAGCATTAAACGTAATAAATTTCAAAGTAAAATGACACATTGCTCTGTTATAATATTCGATCTGTTACAACTGTCTGCAGATGCGGTGAAAGCGTTGAATCTTGTTACTTTCAACTTATTATTATGTGACGAATTTTATGATCTCGTCTTAATCGAAACTTATATAGTCGTTCGAAAAACAAGTCGAAAATGATTGAAATAACAATACCATACGTTTGTTTTATACTTCTGACTTATAAAAAGTCACGATATTAATTATATAATTACAGACGTGCACTTAGTTTCAATATCATCTGGATACTTTTTTTTTTTCTCGATTTGACAGTTTGGGACGCAACTCAGATGAGATCCAATAAGAGAACTTGATTTTTTTTTCATCAATTCCCACGTGAGATAAGTTCCTATTCCGGATCATCGTCTGTATTCCCAGCCACATCGAGAAAAAGAATAGTCCAAGCCGTATTGGAACAAGATGTACACACACATATATACATATATATATTTGTACCATATATATATACATATATGTGCGTCGTTTATAATATCATACACATTTCACGTTATACAGCTGCATCTTACATTCTAATGACGGCCGTCGATTTATCCGCGATAATCAAAATAGTCTATTTCTTTATCGGGGATTTTGGAAGTTGACTGTTGACCCTTCACCGGTAACGATAGAACAGTTCTACAACGAGTCATTTGTCCATCAATTTATGCACAAAATAATCATACAATAATTGTGAATAGCTATCTTACTTTGTAGAGCTGTTTCCTCTAGAGGCATTAAGTACCGGTCCTGGAACCTTCCTCTGTCCATTTTCCCTCTGCACTATCTCTAGTAAACTGTAACTTGGTAGCCAACACTGGAAACGGGACACACCCATAGTCACAGAGATGAAAGCACAGCCGACCGAGCGAGATTCATACCTTATCTTTTACGGCAGTGGCGACGACGTTTCTCTTCGGCTCCTCATCGTACGCTTGACTCTCGCAGCCGAAGTGTTCGCACGACTCGTGCACGAAGTGGCGCTTCTCCCTGTTCATGGTGTCGAACGAGTAACTCCGGGACTTGTGCTTCGACGTTTTCGCAAGCTGCACCAGCTCCGTCAGCTTCTCGTGGACCATCTGGCAGAAGTGCGGGTCCTTCTTGGCCCATTGTTTCATGTAATCGCTGTATCTCGGCATCAGCTTGCCGCTCAAGTCCGGATTGACGATCTGGAGTCCCAGAGCTAATCTTCGGTTCCTCTCGATCGTCTTGCACTCGTCGTTGCATTCCAACGTCTTCAACTGATTCTGCTTCTTCGCGCCTTGCCCAAATACCTCCTCCAAATTGACGGAGTGGCCAAGCTGCATATCGGCCATCTTACTCGCCAGAATGTTGCTGGCTATTCTCTGATACTCCCGCGCATTGTCAACGCAGGTACGGCTCGTCGTTCTATGCCCGCACTGGCATGTAACCTGTAACGCGATCGTTAAAAATCGAGAACCGCTAGTTTTACGGCGAGCGTTCCCAAATAAACGACACGGTCTGTTAACGAAAGTAAAATGAAAGGTGACCGGGACAAGCCCTGTGCGAATGAAACTTGCTCTTACCTTGACCATCTCTTTGCAAGGCGTATCCGGGCACTTGCCGTCGTGACACGGAACGGCGCAGATGTGCCCGCACAATTCCCGCGTGATGACGCAAGGTTGCGCGCACTGCTGGCCGGGTTTCTCGCAGGGCCCGGAGTGACACATCGTGATGCACTTGTGTCGTCCGCATGACAACGGTTTGTTACACGGCAGGCCGCACGAGATCTCGCTCACGTGGCACGGCACTGCCTTCCTCAACTCGTGTTTGCCGTGACACCATCTCTGAGTTAAGACGCTGCACGGCGGGCACGTGGGCTCGCTGTGGCAGTTGTGCAATACCTCGTGGCCGCAAGGATGCTGCCGCGAGCACGGCCGGTTGCAGGCGGGTCTTCTGGTGCCGCACGGGACCGGCGGATAGATCACCTCGGAGCCACATTCGCAGTACAGCTCGTCGAAGCTGCTCTGCCAGCAAGGCGCGCATCTTCCTGTCCGCGGGGAAAAAAGGCATCCGTTCAGAAAAGATTCTCCCGACGTGAAGCGTTCGCGAAACCGCCCGCGAACAAGTCCGCGCGACCGGCGCCAACCGAGAAGAAGAAGCCTAAAATATCATGCGAGATTGGATCGTCTTCTCACCCATGTGACACCTCTGCTCGCACTTGTGCCGGCCGCAGCTCAGAGTCTTCGAGCACGGTAACGGGCAGATGTGCTCGATGTCGATGCAGCAGAGCTGATTGCAGTTATGCTTGCCGCAGGACCTCTTCTTCTTGCAGCGCTTCTCGCAACGCGCGTCATCGGCCTTGCTCGTCAGGTCCCGGCAGGCGATCTCTCGATCCATGTTACCGCACCGACACTTCACGTCGCTGCTCAAGTCGCATTCCGGGCACCCGCCCGCGTGACACGCCGCCTTGCAGGTGTGCGGATTGCCTGCGCGAGAAAACAGCAGCGCTTTAGCGCATCGATCCAGGATACAGTAAGGAGAGAACTAGCTTTCCCAGACACTCACTAGGCTGGCCGCATATCAGACGCTTCGTGCAGATCTTGTCGCAAGTCGGCACCGGGTCCAAGCAACTCTCTCTCTTCTCCGTTAACGGCGTCTGGCCGCAACAACAGGTAGTAACTCGGTCGGGCGTGAGTGAACAAGACTCGCAGGACTCCGGATGGCAGATGTTCCGGCAATTGTGCTTCCCGCAGTCCAGCTTTTTGTTACAGATATTATCACAGGAATACGCGTCCGGGACATTCGCCCGGCAGGACACCTCTTGAGTCTTCTTGCCGCAGAAACATGCTGCGTGAAACCAAACGAAATTCTCACACCTGTATATCGCGTACGTGCTACGCTAATTAGAGCCGTCGATATCGATCCCCCCCGGGAAAGAAACCGCAGGTGCGTATCGAAATACGCGGGGTCATACGAGCACGCACGATATCACGCCGATCAGGGTAATCGTGATACCTTGTTGGACAGTCTTGTCGCAAGAGCCGCACTCTCCCTGGTGGCACTGCCTCTCGCAGACGTGTTTGCCGCACGGCAGCTCCTTGCCGCACACCGAGTCGCACAGCAGCGGCTTGTGAGCGCTGCACTGGAGCGTCTGCGAGGTTCTGCCGCAGCCGCAGTACTTGGTCACCATCGCGACGCACTGCGGGCAGGAGCCCGGGTGGCAGAGCAGCGTGCACTTGTGCACGCAGCCGTTCTTCGACAGATTCCGGCCGCAGGTCTCGCCGCACGAGTGCGCCACGTCCCGGCGATTCCACTCCGGCATCTTCATCTTGCCGCAGAAGCAGTAGTAATCCACCGGCACGACCGAACTGACGTTCTGGCAGGCCGGGCATCTCCAGCCTTTATCTGGAACGGAGGGATCGATTAGCTCGGGAGGATCGGAGAGAAGACGGCTGGCCACTCACCGATCTGCGAAGACTTGGCCCACTTTTTGATGCACTTCAAGTGCAGCACGTGGTAACAGTTGGCGCAGGACCACACGTAGTCGGTCTGCTTGATGTGCTCGTAACAGACCAAACATTCCAACGTGCCTCTGTTCAGCTGCTCCGTCAATCTCTCCCTCTGACTCGCGTCGTCATCTGTTAATCGAACAGCGCCCATTTCATTGCTCGCTTCCCATACAAGATAGTTATGTACATGAGAAAGCACAGAAACTTAAGATCGTCTTATTTCTGGACCGGATCGTTTCATTGACCGCAATGCATCCGAAGACGAACTTAAGACGATCTTAAATACAAGATCGGACTATGAATGCCGACCCACGTGTAGCCTTTAGTAACCGATCCAGTGTAGCGCTGCATGATCGAATTCGCTTCTAACAACAGGCTCGCGAATTGAAATCGAGAGAAATCATTGGGGAGGGACTGAATAAGAGAGCAAAATGTACGTACCAATCTCATATTTCCTCTGTGGAGTTTTCTTCTGCACCGTCCCGTTACCGTCCGTTCGATCCCTCCAATTTTCCACTTTCTTCTCCCTGTGACTCGTGGCCTCCTCGCTGTTACCGTCTCTATCATCCAGCAGTTTTTCGCCCGCACTTCTCTTGCTGTAACCGTTACCTCTGCCACCAGTCGGAACGTTGAAATGATTCTTCCTACCTTTGTAGTTGCTCTCGTATCTCTCGCTCCTACTGTTACCCGTGTACCTTCTCGTAATTCTACCAACAAGCTCGGACCTGTCCGGTCCGTCCGGATTATTGTACTTGTGATAGCCGAAGGTGTTGGCGTAGTTACCGAATCGCTTGGGTTTGCGCAGCGCCTCGCCCTTCGTCGACGCGTTTTCCGAATCATTGCTCTCGTGCGATAACGCTCTCTCTTCGTTCGCGTTAACACCCGAGAAGTCGTCCTCCGGAATCCCTTCGACCGAAGTCTTGAGATTGTCGGCCACAGACGAGCCGGTGAACTCGGTCGCGCCGGGATTTCCGCTAACATACTGTTCCACAGAGGATGCGTCCGAGGTCTGACGTCTCCGGTTGTAATACTTGTCGTTCTGAAACTTGTTGTAATTCTTCGCACTGTACGTTCTATAAGCGTCCTTGTAACCGGATCTGGATGGGGCCTGCGCGTCCTTGTAATTCACACTCCTCTTGTTATCGTAACGTTTCTCGCCCTTGTACCTGTTATCCGGCGTAGCTGACACATCGGCCGACTTCGCCCTGTGACCCTGTACGCCGGGGTTGAAGCTGTCCCTCTTGTTAAATCTCTCCCTCTTCAACTTCGCGTCGTTTGGCACAAATTCACTGGCGGTGGGGTGTAGATTCGAGTTCACCACTATGCTGGACTGAACCACGCTGTCGTCACCTTTCGACGCGTAATTGTTGCTTATCTTGGGCCTTCGACTGTAATTGCCGTGGGAGGAGGGCGAGACGTTGCGCCTGACACCCTTCGCGGAATGCTGCGAACTCGCGTTTGGTGCTTGCGCCCCGTCCTCCGGGGAGGCGTTTGGCAGTATGTGTTTCTGATAGGCGTTTCCTAAAGGCACCATGTTCGATGGTATCGGCAGAACGTTCGTGTAGAAGCCTGCGTTCGAGGTGGAGGCGTTCTGCTCGTACATATGCTGACCACCGCTCGCTGGAGGATAGTAGTTTCCCGAGGGGAGGTTGGGCAGGTAAGCGGGGGTGTTTCCGATCGCGCCGCCGGCGAAATACGGCCAGGTGTCCACGGTGGTGCCGGGTGCTGCGTTCCGGCCGGAGTACACGAAGTAGTTGGACTCCTCCTCCGCCGGATACGAGCCGTTCCAGGTGGCCATTGCGATCGCACGGTACGATTGCACAGTAATGCGAAACTGCGCGCGCGGAGGTGATCCGGGGAGAGAGGGATCCGCCGAACGGTGACGAATCACCTCGAGCTGATTAATTCAGCCTTGGAGGCTCTCTTATCCGCCTGGAGATCGGACGGGAGAGAACAGTGTGACACGGAGCGAGCTTCTGCGGGATTCGAATCGCAATATGGTTACATGCCGAGAGAGCGTGAGTGTGCGCGCGTGATCGATTGATCCGCTCCGATTCTAACCTAACGGAGGAATGCCGCAGGAGAGGTACTTACGGTGAGTACGTTCGCCCCTCCGTCCGCTTCTTCGACGGGATCTCAGCGAAGAACGGCGAAAGAATTCGGGGAATGTGCGGCACGACGCGTGGCCCGCGCGGAGCGGAGAAGAGAAAGGGTTGCGTGCCCCGTATTCCGATGTTATCGGGGCGAAATAGAGGTCGGCAGTTACCGTACCTTACGGGCAACGCGTGCCGCGCGGTGAGGCAGGGCAGCGGCAGCCAATCAACCTCTCGCTCTTCCGGATATCATAGGTATGTATACACCTCACGATACATAACCACTTTCGTAATGTTTCGCAGTCGGTGTTAGGTTAAGGTGTCAGATGCGCAGCGAGCTTGTTGTTAAAATAGCGAGGGATTTGAGATCGCGCAACGCGAAGTAGCGAGGGGGAAACATTCACGAGGCCGGAAAGCGGAGGTAAAGCATGATACCGCACCTTTGGATAAAATTTCGAACCTCATTCAATCACGATTATCATACTGCGATTGTGATCTAACCTATCAGAAACGTGCTCGTCAACGTGAGCGACGACAACAAACGGGCTGCTGCGCCGCAATATGACAAGTATCACGTAATAATCGACATAATGTAAGTATAATAGAAAAGGAATAAGATTAAAAAGTGATATATCATAATGGTGATGAATCGGTAGCAGGTAACGGAAACAACCGGTGTCGTTGAAAACTAGAGAGCGTAGTCAATTGTTTGACTCGTCGCCTTACGATTTTCATCATTCACGGATTTTAATTTAAACCTGTATTCAAGAAATCTTAAGGTAAGTATCCACTTGATTCTCGCGATGGTATGCCGTCGTTGTAAAATTCATCTCCGTATCGATCTATCCGCAACGGTAAGGGTGATGTGAAATTCTTTTCTAGGATCACATATACACACATGACGTCCGAGGAAGTGAATCGTAATGCAATGATGGTTTCCGCTGAGGAAACTGATCAATCTGTTACCAGTACATCGCAGAATGCAGGTAACAGCAGAGATGTAAATTCAACGAGGCCATACGACCACGGTAGTCGACAGAGTAACCTTCTACGAATACAGCAACGCAAGCAACAATTATTCAACTTGCCGCGAAGCAAGAAATTGATGAAGCTATCGACCTACAGCGCTTGCCAGGCGGTCGAGTGCAAGTGCACCGGTTGGAAGAACGTGCAACCTATCCTGAAATCGCAGAAGGGTGACGTTCAACAGCCTGCTATCAATTTTCTGGATCCGTGTAAAAACTGCGCTCATGCTTTGGAGAGCCACGTCGCCCATCTGCAGAACAAATCTGAGGAAGAACTCAATAAACTGTTGAGCATGGCTATCGATGCCGATAACCTTTTCATGGGTGTGTACAAGGAGGAAGATTCCGATACCAAGAGGATATATCATTACATGTACACGTTATTGAGAAAGTGTATATTGTCTATGACGAAACCAGTCGTGGAGGGCCCGTTGGGGCAACCGCCATTCGAGAGACCCAGCATAGCGAAAGCGGTGATGAATTTTGTTTTGTACAAATTCAGCCACCTGTCGCAGAGAGAATTGCAGGTAATGTGCGAAATGGCGAAGATGTTTTTGCACTGTCTCAATCATTGGAACTTCGAAGCGCCCAATGCCAAAAGGACGAGCAGCGCGGGAGAAGCGTCGGCTTATAAAATCAATTACACCCGTTGGCTCGTTTTCTGCCATGTGCCTGCATTATGTGACTCCTTCCCGCATTATGGTACTCCTATAGCTTTCGGCAAGACTCTGATGCAAGCTGTGTACAGATCAGTTTGCAGCCAGTTAATCGACAAGTGTAATAGCGAGAGAGACAAAATAACGCCGGAGAAGAGGGTCCTAGTCCTGACGCATTTCCCCAAGTATGTTTCGCGATCTTTTCGTCCTCCTCGAAACAATGCGTATCTCACGAGTATCGTGATCTTTCCAGGTTCCTCTCCATGTTGGAAGCGGAGGTTTACTCTGACAATTCGCCCATTTGGGACCCCGAGTTCAAGCAGCCTTCCCACCTACAAACCGCCTTGGAATTGAAGGGGCATCAAGCTAGAAAGCCAGCGGAATTCGAGAAAGTCACCGTCGCGTCAAACGAGAATCCGAAGGATAATTACACGACGATCAACATCAGTCCCGGAGTGAAAAAGCTTTACGAGAAGCGCCATCATTCCGAGTCGGGTCGAAGTTCCGACGCGAAGAAACGAAAAACCGAGGAGGTCTTCGAGGATCTACCGGACGAAACTGTCGCAGAGATCGTCGCCACCATCAACGACCCCAACCGCATGTGCGGTCCTGAAGTGGTGTTCCCACCGGATGTCCCGCGCGACGAAACCGCCAAGATGGAGGAGAGCAAAAAGATAATCGAGTTTCACGTTGTTGGGAATAGTCTTACGCAGCCCGTGTCGAAGCAAACCATGCTTTGGCTGATAGGATTGCACAATATATTCAGCCGTCAATTAGTTCGAATGCCCAAACATTACATATCTCAATTTGTTTTCGATCCGTAAGTACTAAACAGATATTTCCATTCCGTTCGTTATCGCGAATCATTGCGAGCAATATTTCTTTTGTCACATAGGAAGCACAAGACACTGGCCCTGATAAAAGGTGGCCGGCCGATCGGCGGTATCTGCTTTCGGATGTTCCCGACCCAGGGATTCACCGAGATAGTCTTCTGCGCGGTCACGAGCCAGGAGCAGGTGAAAGGCTACGGGACCCATTTGATGAACATGCTGAAGGATTATCACATCAAGCACAACATATTGCACTTCTTGACGTTCGCGGACAAGTTCGCCATCGGATACTTCAAGAAGCAGGGTTTCAGCAAAGATATCAAGCTACCGAAGGCGATTTATAACGGATACATCAAGTACTACGTGAGCGCGATGTTGATGCATTGCGAGCTGAACGCGAAGATCGTGTACACCGAATTCACGTCGGTCATCAGGAAGCAGAAGGAGATCGTCAAGAAGCTGATACATCAGAAGCAGCAGGAAGTACCGAAGGTTCATCCGGGGCTGACGTGTTTCAAGGAGGGCGTGAAGGGTATCCCCATCGAGTCTATCCCGGGGATTCACGAGACCGGTTGGAAAAGTTCCACTCAAACCAGAACGCGGGGTGTGGCGAAGGGAACGCAGGAACCGGAACCGGTGGATCCCAGTCTGGACATGGCGGATTCCTTGTACAATTCGTTGAACGCCGTTCTCAACAGCGTCAAGAAGCACAGTACAGCCTGGCCCTTCCTCAAACCCGTGGACAAGAACGATGTTCCTGATTACTACGATCACATAAGATATCCTATGGGTGAGTTCACACAATTGAACAGGCGTCCGTGCGTCTTCGCATGCAGTCCGATGAAGTGTAATGCGAATCAGATGGAGGACTAAAGACGCCCTCTTTTGTGTTACAGATCTCAAGACTATGTACGAGCGTCTCAACGCGAAATACTACGTAACGAAGAAGCTATTTATAGCGGATATGATGCGGATCTTCACAAACTGCAGGCTGTACAACAGTCCCGATACCGAATATTACCGTTGTGCCAATGCCTTGGAGAAATACTTCCAAACGCGTATGAAAGAGGCCGGTCTCTGGGATAAATGAAAGCCTCCGAAAAATGTGCGGCTGTAACAGTGTCGACGGTCGAAAATTTCCTAACTTATTCACGCTATTCCGAAGTCCAGCTGTTTGAAAATGAAAGTCCATACTGTTATGATACTGCTTTCTGTGCAGTATTTGTACAAAGGTGAAGTAGATATCTATCTGGCGTGGGAGTGCACGTCGGAATTGTTGAAAATAGAAAGAGATAACGCAGAAATATTGGTTATTTTCTTTTTTTCCATACGTCGCGCGCGAAGTTTCGACGAACTTTCGGATACAGCCGGAAAGAACGTATTTTCAAATAATTGCCGAAGTTACTTGTGTTTGACAATTTATATGCAATCTCACTTTTTCCAATCGCTTTCTTCACATTCTGACATGCACCTCTCGTTAAATAAAGATGTATGTATGTACATATAAATGCATATGTATATAAGTGTATAAAAAAGAAAAAAAAAACTGCAAAGTGGTGCAAGTCGTGGATGTCGCTTGTCTAATTTCAATCGGGTATTTTATACAACATGACTTGCGAATGTAATTGTTTATACGTGGTATTTTTACTACCAGCACCATGTTGTTAAAAATATTAGAAACGGTTTTAATAAAGTTTCAGATCTAATTGGGTATTTCACAGTTTAATTACTGTCATTAGTTACAATTAGTTACAATTTGGGAGTGTAATACGACGATTATATAAGGACGCTGTGATAGGTGATCAATTTACGAAACAGTTCATTGTAATGGCTGGTTTGTAAAATATCATTAATGAAATAAAGCTTGTTATCTGCAAATGTTGTAAATGCAATGAAACAACTGATTGTGATTCAATAATCGCAGTGATACCTGCATTATTGAATCAATAAAAAAATTACTTATTCTTATTGCTGTTTTCTGCCATATTATTTTGACAATTATACGATTTTTTTTTATAGCTCCCCGACAGGGAGTGTAAAGTTTATTATAAGATTTTGAAAATACAGATGATTACTATATTGCAGTTTCTGTAAAGTAACGCTACAATTAACGAAATATCAGTGGGATCAGCCTTATCCGAGTATGAACTGTTCCAAGTGGCCATTGCGATCGTTAGCGATTGTACAGTAATGCGGAATCAGGCGGAGGTAACCGGAAGATTTACAAAACGGACGAAATAGTCTAGCAAGTAAATGTCCCAGAATTCTTATCTTTCGAGTATTTTTGCGCGAAAAAGTAGTACCGCGACAGTCGACGGAGTTTGAATTGCAATATGGTAAAAGCCAACGGTGGGTGTGCGCGATCATTGATCTTCGAGCGATCCACTTCTAACCTATAGGAATTTTCGCATAGGAGAGGCACATACGATACTTGGCTATTCGTCGTCCCGCCGCAATTTAAACGAACAACAACGAGAATTCGATGAATGTACGATACGAATTGTGTACCACGTACAATGGCGAGCAGAAAGGGTTGAATGCTCCGTTTGATATCATCGGAACAATAATAATTAGTCGGGAGAAAACAAACGAAAGCAGCGATATTGGAATAAGCGTTGTTGGAAATAGAAAAGTGCAGTCAGATATTTGACTCTTTACATTACAATTTTAATCACTGCCTGATCTAAATTTTAATCTAATTTAACAAATCTTAAGGTAAGTTTACAATAGTTTATTTAATTCTTTTATTCAGTGTATAATCACATAGTACAAAATTGACAAGTATTTGATGTATCCTTTATAAATCACCTTTGACATCTTGATATCTTTGACAAGTGTATCAATCTTATTTTCAACTGTGACAAAAGATATCAATTTTTCTTCAGAACCATGGCATCTGAAGAAGTAAATCGTAATACAATGATAATTGCTTCTGAAGAAACTGGCCAATCTGTTACTAGTACGTCGCAAAATGCAGGTAACAGCAGAGACACAAATCCAACAAAGGCGCATGAACAGGGAAGCCGACAGAGTAATCTGCAACGAATACAACAACGCAAGCAGCAAATGTTTAATTGGCCACAAATAAAAAAATTGTTGAAACTTGCGACCTACAGTGCTTGCCAAGCAGCTGAGTGCAAGTGTACCGGTTGGAAAAATGCGCAACCTATTGTAAAATCACAAAAAGGTGAAGTTCAACAACCTGTTACAAATTTTCTGGATCCTTGTAAAACTTGTACTCATGCTTTAGAGAATCACATCACTCACTTGCCGACCCAATCAGAGGAAGAACTCAATAAATTGTTGGGTATGGCTATTGATGCTGATAACATTTTTATGGGCATACATAGGGAAGAAGATCCCGATACAAAGAAAATATATTATTATTTATATACTTTACTGAGAAAATGCATTTTGTCTATGACGAAACCGACTATAGATGGTCCTTTGGGACAGCCGCCATTCGAGAGACCTAGCATAGCAAAAGCAGTAATGAATTTTGTTTTGTATAAATTCAGTCACCTCTCTCCGAGAGAATGGCAAGCTATGTGCGACATGGCAAAGATGTTTTTGCATTGTCTGAATCACTGGAATTTCGAAGCGCCGAGTGCCAGAAAGACGACGATTAGTGCTGAAGAAGCGCCTGCTTATAAAATTAACTATACCCGTTGGCTTGTCTTCTGTCACGTACCTGCATTTTGTGACTCTTTGCAGCATTATGATACTCCCGTAGTCTTTGGCAAGACTCTATTGCAAGCTGTTTTTAAGCCAGTCTGTTGCCAATTAATTGACAAGTGTCACAGTGAAAGAGACAAAATAACACCGGAGAAGAGAGTTTTAGTCTTAACGCATTTTCCCAAGTACGTCACGATCTTTCTGTCTTACTTAGAATGAAATCTCATAAATATCAGCAAATACATAATCGTTTGCGTTCCAGGTTTCTCTCGATGTTGGAAGTGGAAATTTATTCTGACAATTCACCTATCTGGGATCTCGAATTTAAGCAGCAGCCGCCTTCTCATCTACAAGCCGCCTTGGAATTAAAGGGACACCAAGCGAAAAAAATGGGAGAAATCGAGAAAATTACTGTTACGTTGAATGAAAAGGATAACTATGCAACAATAAATATCAATCCTGCAGCGAGGAAGCTTCATGAAAAGCGTTTCCAGGTCGAGTCAGGACGTTGCGATGTGAAGTGACGGAAAACTGAAGAGGCCTTTGAGGATCTACCCGAAGAGACTGTCGCCGAGATTGTTTCGACTATCAATGATCCTAATTATATGTGCGGCCCAGATGCGGTGTTCCCGCCGGATGTTCCACGCGACGAAACAGCTAAAATTGAAGAAAGCAGGAAGATCATAGAATTTCACGTCGTTGGGAACAGTCTTACACAGCCTGTGTCTAAGCAAACTATGCTTTGGCTGATAGGATTACATAATGTCTTCAGCCATCAGTTAGTTAGAATGCCCAAAGATTATATATCTCAATTCGTATTCGATCCGTAAGTACTGAGATACTTTCTTCCGTTCATTGTTTTGTAAATCGTTGTTAGTAATATTCTCTTTATCACGCAGGAAGCACAAAACGTTGGCCCTGATAAAAAGTGGTCGGCCAATTGGCGGCATCTGTTTTCGCATGTTTCCGAGTCAGGGATTTACCGAGATTGTCTTTTGCGCGGTCACGAGTCAAGAGCAGGTAAAAGGCTACGGGACTCATTTGATGAATATGCTGAAGGATTATCACATCAAGAATAACATACTGCATTTCTTGACGTTCGCGGACGAGTTCGCCATTGGCTACTTCAAGAAGCAAGGTTTCAGCAAAGACATAAAGCTACTGAAATCCATGTATCAGGGATACATTAAGGATTACGAGGGTGCGACGTTGATGCACTGCGAACTAAACGCCAAAATAGTATATACCGAATTTACAGCGGTTCTGAGGAAGCAAAAAGAAATTGTGAAGAAACTGATTTACCAGCGGCAGCAAGAGATACAAAAGGTCCATCCTGGCCTAACATGCTTTAAAGAAGATGTTAGGTGCATTCCCGTGGAATCAATTCCGGGTATTCGTGAAACCGGCTGGAAAAGTTACACGCAAACTAGGACGAGAGGTGTGACAAAGGGAACGCAAAATTCTGAACCAATGGAAACGTGTGTAGACATGTCGGATTCTCTATATAACGCTTTAAACAATGTTCTAAATACCGTGAAGAATCACAGCGCTGCTTGGCCATTCTTGGAGCCTGTTGATAAGGACGAGGTCCCAGACTATTATGATCACATAAAATATCCCATGGGTAAGTTCAAGAAAAAAGCACATTTTAAAATACAGATGATTTATAAAGTTATAAAATAATTAACAGACACAAAATAATATAGTTTGAGATAATAATAAAACAAAAACTAAATGACCCAACTATTCATGTTGCAGATCTCAAGACTATGGAGGATCGTTTGAAAACTAAATACTATACAATTAGGAAATTATTTATAGCAGACATGACACGAATCTTTACAAATTGTAGATTGTACAATAGTCTCGACACTGAATACTATCGCTGTGCAAATGCTCTAGAAAAATACTTTCAAACTCGTATGAAAGAGATTGGCCTATGGGACAAGTAGAATTTTTAAGTTTTTTATAATAATAAAGATAACACTAATATATAGTTGGTACTTTCCAGTAATCAATAGTAACTATGCACCTGATGTTTTTTTTTTTTTAATTTTATTCTCATTTCTACAATCAATTATTTTATCATCAATTATTTTATAAAAATCATGTCTGTTGACTACTCATTGTGACTGTCCTTGTATAGATTTAGCACGCTTGTAAAATTGTCCTTTTACACGAATCAATAAATAGTCGCAAAATTAACTCGATGCAGAATCTTCCTTTCTAATCTCTTCTCTTGTGATTTTATCTATCATTTTAATCACTGATTCGTTCATTCATTCTCACTAATCATATCAAATGTTTCGATAATGCTGTCCTTGGCAGTGGCAGGCATAATAACCTTTCTATTTTAATAGTGCGTACCAATGTATATCTTATCTTTCGTAATATGGTTCCCGCCCACAGGACGCGGAAATGCCGCGCGACAAGAAGCGACGCGGCAGCCAATCAACCGTGTCGTTTATCCACGAGAACTAATAGTTTATTGGCTACCGCGTCGCTTCTCGCAAGCGTTGCCGCGTCCTGTAAGCAGAAGCCATGAAGGTCTTTAGCGAAGGATAGAGTGTCTAAAATGACGCGTTATCACCGATAGCGCGTTCTCCGAACGCAGCTTATGATTACCGGCCTGTGGAGACCGGCCTTAGTGGTGGACGAGTCTTCGTTGTTTCGCGTGAACATCGTTCGTAGCGCGACCAGCACGGCGATAGATGTCTCGAAAGTATTGAATCGCGCTTGTATGCGCACTACATACTACACATACCTCGAAAAAGTTGACACATAGCACGTAGCACGGGCGCTCTGACTGATGGTGGTTCAAAAATTCGTCGTACCGTCGGTTTAGTTGTCGCGAAGTCGCAAAATGCTGGCATACTGTGATATTTTTGACTTCAAGGTACTTATGCTCGCGTGTCTAATGGTAAGTAATAAACCTGCCACCTCGTTACTTTATCACATGGGATTATCGAGAAATGTGTCAATAATGTCAATCGTCATGATCATGATGTCTCGTTAATTTCACGTATATAATTTATCATAGTTTCTGTCCGATCGAAAATACCGTTTATCTTGATTCCATCAACTTGCTCTTCTACGCGGCATAACCTATATTTTTATATTATTGTAACTTCATACTCGAAAGCATGAGAAAAATGATGGACTAGAGGAAAAAAAAGTCAACACATATCCCGTGCGATCTTACATTTGATGCTATGACACTTCATGCACATTTGTGTCAATAAACGTCAACAAACGAGACAAGATCGTGCAAACATGTTTGACGCATCGTATCAAACGTATTGCTGTTTGTGTCTATTGGCGTACAAATTTGTTACACATGTTGGTCCATACGTGAATAGATAAAAAAGAATAGGTCGCCCCGATATTTGCCACTGGTCAAGTATTAAATATATTTTGATCAATATAAGAATCTGTACAGAGAAAAAGAAGAATGAGAAAGAAAACAATAACTGAGAGATTCACACACAAACACACCATATGGCTGATATTCGGTTAATATTGTTAGCGAACATTTGTCATGTACGGATACGAGACACTCAAGATGCAGAATTATACGATGATATTCTGTTAAATTATAATAAAGTAAAAATGTGTGTGTCTAGATACATCTGCCAAATTGTATAGGAGAAGAAGAAGTAGACGGTGCAGTTTCACTCACTCATAAGAATATTGATGTAACATTAGGTAAGGTATTGTATATAGCAAATAACATGTCACACAGAGTATGACTTTGCGATCAGAGGCAAGTACTGCAGTATCTGTTTTTTTGGACTTTGCAGCAAAGAATGAACTGGTATTTATCAACTTTTACGCACAATGGTGTCGCTTCAGTAACTTATTAGCCCCATTATTCGATAAAGCTGCAAATAAAATTAGAGAAGAATTTCCACAGCCAGGCAAAGTAGTAATGGCCAAAGTTGACTGTGACCAAGAATGTAAGTATGTTTGGTAATTACTTATGAAAGTCTGCACAATGAAAGGCAAGTGACTTGCTTAATTACTTTGACTATATACATGTTATACACGTCATCTCTTATTTGAATCGTGTAATTCTTGAGGTATCTAAATCATTTTACATTGAATTGTATCGAGAACAAGCATTTTTTGTAACTATCGTCATTCGGAAAATATTCTCTTTTATTTTTTACCGATAAATACAACCAATGTCAAGTTTGTATCAATGATGCTTGTCTCGTTTGATCGATGAATCTAGAATATATTGACGAGAATAACAGATCCTGGAATCCCCCGATTTTGTTGAAACGTGTAACGAAATTGATTGAGAACCATCTCTCAACGATGAGACGCTTGGAGCTCGGGCTTTGCGTGTCACTACAAGATATAATATCCGAGATAATATTCGAGATTTAGACTCGCCAATTTAATCAAGGACATATCTTGACGAAATACAAACTTTTGTTATAAATATATATATAATATAGAATCTCTGAACAAATCGTTACATCTGTCACTCGCTCGTACGATAAACTATTTATCAGTTAACAATTTGTTTTTACAATGAGCGACGAACTTTCAAAATACCACACTCATAAGGATAAACTTGGTAAATGTGTGTCATTAAAGGTGGTTTTGACGATATCCGTTTATCCGTACGTTATATAACATACCGAACCAATAGTGGCATAAGAAATATTGATAAAGAAGAACACAAAAGATATTTGGAGCGATAGTAGGGATAACAAACTATGAACATAATCAGGCGTAAAATCGCGATACTTCTGAGTGGCAAAACTCATAGTACAGATGACTCACCTTCCCAACATTTCTGTAACATGTATCTGAATACAAACAATCTATGTGCTGTTGATAATTGACGTGTATTTGAAAAAAAAAAGTGTCACAAATAAGAGAAAATTGTGTCTCTGTCGATAAGTCAAAGGTCGTTTGTTTAATTTATACATCAGAGTTGGATGTATTGTTACATGTTATGTTACAGCGGCTGTGGCTGCTAGGTTTCACATAAGCAAATATCCAACGTTAAAAGTAATAAGGAATGGTCAACCGACTAAGAGAGAATACAGAGGGCAACGATCGGTGGAAGCATTCCAAGAATTTATCAGAAAGCAATTGGAGGATCCCATCAGGGAGTTCTTTGATTTGAGAGAGCTCAATGAACTGGACGATAAGAAACGTATGATCATAGGATACTTTGACAGAAAAGATATACCGGAGTACGAATTGTTCCGGAAAGTTGCCACCAATTTGAAAGATGATTGTCAATTTCATGTTGGTTTTGGGTAAGACATTCATCTAATTATATTACAACGCCGCGAATTGCCGCTATTTTTGGCGCACGCAAACACATACTTTTTCTTGAAATGCGCAACTATCGCAAACAATTGATATGGATTCAAAAGTATCTAAGTAATAATGTATATGTATATCATAATTATCGTAATGTAATTTCGTTTGACAAGCACATGCTCCAATCAAAACTGCGAAATTGGACAGCATTTTCATTTGCTGTAAGTAAACCGTCGTTTACTTAATATCTACGTTTACACGGTAATAAATGGTAGTAAACCGTTGTTTACTTAATATCTATATTTACACGGTAATGAGCCTCCTCGTTGTCTGCGTTTACACGGTAACCTGTTTAGTAGTCAGACCCGTAATCCATGACCGGCTCCTTCATCCGTGTATAAATTTGCCGACCGTTCTACGGAATATTCTCACGTCAGTCACACAGTTGTAACATAATATACGTGTAACATTAATTGTCCCACCAGCGGAAACAAACTATGTGCGTCGTACGAAAGTTATAAAATCAGCTTTAAGTGGTTACCGTGTTGACGTAATTTGCTAGATATTTTTTTGATAATTCCATCTCTCTGCACGTGTTGTTACATGGATGAAATCCGCTGTGTGCAAACAAACATTTTTTTCCCCAAATATCTTCAGTTGTGCGATCCGACCGGAGAATGTTGACAAGTTGATTTTGTTATTGCACGTATGTAGAAATGCGAGTAGAGCGTTGCATCCTCCGGGAGAAGCCATCATTGTCTTCCGTTCGGACAAGGCCTTATCTAACGACGAAGACGAAACATACAATGGCAGTTTGAGCAATTACGACGAGTTGAACGTGTGGGCGCAGGAGAAATGTGTGCCACTGGTGAGAGAAATAACGTTCGAAAATGCGGAGGAGTTAACGGAAGAGGGCCTGCCGTTCCTTATATTGTTTCATGCTCCCGATGACGTCGAAAGCGTCAAACTGTACAAAGATATCGTAACTAGAACATTGATAAGCGAAAAACGTACGTTGCATCTTGTCTTATTGCTTTATTACCACTAACACACACTTTTTGCTCGTTGCCTACCATCTTTTGTCACGTTGTGTTCTTTTTCTTCTTTCAGAAAACGTCAATTTCTTGACCGCCGATGGATTAAAGTTTGCACATCCGTTGCACCATTTGGGGAAAAGTCCAGCGGACTTGCCATTGATCGCGATAGATAGTTTTAGGCATATGTACATGTTCAAGGATTTCAAAGACATTCATGTAGAAGGAAAGCTCAAAGCTTTCTTGCAGGACCTGTATTCCGGGAAACTTCATCGTGAATTTCACTACGGCCCTGACATTACGAGTAACGATGTGCCGCAGGCAGTCACGGGAAAGCAGGTGAAAACACCTACAACGCCGCCAGAGTCTACATTCAAAAAACTTGCGCCAAGCAAAAATAGGTATACGTTACTTCGCGACGAATTGTAACGAAATGGGCGATTGTGGCGCGTATAATGGAGATTCTCGTATAATTAATTGCTATATAGTTTACTAATAAATTAGAACTGATGAAATTGGTTGATTTCAATCGACATTCGCGACATATGCGGACATATGTTTATTTTCATCATCGTATAATTGCAATGTGATTGCAATCTTCGCTGAAAAACCCGACGAAGAAGTTTCCGCGTTCTTTCCCTCTTTTCTCCTTTTCTTTACATTATCTACCATCATCTGAATTTGATATCGCAACATCGTATGTAAGTTGTGCGCGCGCATACATGACTTTGCAACGTACTTTACAACACACAGCGCGAGAGAATTGAGTGAAATAAAAGATCCCGATATTTGGTGTTACGAGTTGATGAGTTCTTGCTTCTCCTTTTTTTTCTAATTTCAAGTCTTGAGTCTGCGTCTATATTATCACGCGGACGATTTATTCGTCTGATTGTTATTTGTGTTTTATTTATGTGGAGGAATCAAAAGAAAGCAAAGATCAGATGAGACAGATAACAGCGCACGACGTGCACGCGTATACAAAGACCAGCGTCTTAACCTTCATGTTGTATCATTGTATTATACACGTTCCGTAGAAAATCTCTTGTCACTTTTAATTGAGAAAACCGATGCGACGCGACTTAGGATTTTTCAATTCTGATGAAGCTACGGCATACATTGCCGCTTGAACGTTACACAATAGTTTTATAATTTTATTTCAATGCGCGCTGATCCAAGGTTCCTCTTTTTGTAATATCTGTTTTTTTTTGTTGGTTATCCTCGCGGACAAACATCTTTGCACAATTGATAGTGAAACATTGTATTTCTACCAGTGTCTGTAATTACGCATCGAGGTGTATATTAGATCATGTACATTATATTACGCGGTTTGAACCGCCGATCAGTTCCAACTTGGATGTGACACACTTGTATGTAAAAATTTAGCAACATCCCAGTAAACACCAAGTATCACAACATCGACGTTACAATGTCCGACACAACATAACATCACATGACATCCTAACATCGATGTTACGATACTTGGTGTTCGCTGGGATTATTTCTCCTATTAGTTAGATCAAAAGTGCGATATCTTTAACACATACAATTACATTCGCCGAGAATCCGTGAGATTGTTGTGTTCGATGATGGTGTCTAATACATGTGTGCATGTATATTATTAATTATATTGTTTGGAGTTATTCTGGATGTATTATGTGAGAGAGAGGGGGGAAAAGAGAAGAAGGGGGAAAGAGAAAGTGTGTATGTATGAGTGAGAGTGTGAGAGAGAAAGAGAGATTTTATCTATCGTGTGATTGTGAGACGTGTTGATGAAATAACGTGCTCTCGTAAGATATCCTTAGGAAGCATTATTTGTATGAAAGATATTGTTTTGGCTGTTAATAAAGCTGATTTCTAAGTCATAAATTTCACATTGATTATTGTCGGAATGACGGCCGTAGTTGTGGTCGTGAAAGCATTGAGACAAATTCAACATGGAATATATGTACAGGACGTTGAATCAACATATTAACGTCGGATTGATAAGGACACGCGTGAGAGAGCGCTCGTTCTTTCATCCTTACTAACGGCAACCCGGCGTCGATGTGTCGATGCAACCACCTGCACATATATTGAATACATACAAATATTTTATTGGGTCGTACTGAGATAACTCGTAAAGCTGAGAAAACTGAGATAACTTGTAAAGCCTAGCAAAGCCTCGCGATGATGCAAACGATGATATATTATCCAGAAAAGTCATGGTATAGTTTTGCGGAGTAACTTTAATAACGCACAATAGCACCATTGTACAAGGTAAATAAACAACAAACGTATGTATCTCTTTTGCCAAATATGCTCGCATTAAGTCTATCGTCGTAAAAAGTCGCGTTTAGGCCTGCTTATCGTTTGAGAACACGTAGCGTTTTCGCCATAACGCAATATAATAACTATATTTAGATATTTACTCTAGAAAAATAACGTCATGGACATTCCTTGTTGCGGGAATTAGTCGTTACGCAAACGTCGTTATCCCCCTTTTCTCAAGTAAAAATATAAATATTTCGTTTCACAGCGCAATACAACTCCCCCGTGTTGACATACCCACACTTATTGTTTCTCCTGTTATCTTTCTTCGCTCAAACCACCGCGACGTCATTGACAATACAACCTCCGTTATAACTTCCGTCTGAGAGTTATCATTCGCCTTATGCGCCTTCTCGCAGCGCGCGTTTCTCAATAACGCTGAATCGTCTCCAATGGCAAAAACTGGAAAAATATGTGCATTTAAATTTCTCATTTGCGTTACAAACGATGCATCGAGAAGATGAACGACGTCGCCGTTGAGAATACCTTTGAGAATCTCCGACTTAACTTTCCCCGCTTCTGTACGTTCGCATGTTCGATCAATTGTATGATCACATATAACAATCACACGAGTGTTTTTACTCGATTCTGTCGTTTGATTGTAAATTCCAACAATCTGTTATTATTAACAATCCCTTCCTCCTGCCTCGTCACGGCACGATTTTTTAGGAAAACAACAACCCCTTCTAATCTAGCAGAAGCTTTTCCCATTGGAGATGCGATATCTCGATTATACGAAAGCCAAGGCCATCGGCCGCGGAGCATGCATCTGTCGCGTGTTAACGCGGACCCAGAAAGAGAGAGATGTTTTCTCCTTATCCGCTGCTATCTTTTCAATGGTTGAATTTTGTTTAACGGAGCATCCCTTACAAGTTGGGAATGTCTTTTGCTCTATAAGTGTTCAACGTCGTAGCGTGTATAAACGTCGCGTGAAACTGAAATTATTATATACGTATATGATAAATAATTGCTAAACACGGTTTCTACTTTATTCACGAAATGTTTATTACATGCGAAAGAAACGTCCGAAAAGTTTTCAAGTGTGGTCCCGGTCTACAGGTGAATAATATAGTCACACGTCATCTCTTTCTACGTCTGTCAACACACATGCTCCCCGCCCGGTACGATTCCCATATTCGACGTTCCCTCACTGCCGACTACACTGAATATAGAAATATTCACGTACTCAAGTCGAAAAAACGCGAACTCTCCGTTTAACATAGTTAATGAAAGACATATCCTTATTACACACATGATATAGTTAGTTTGCGAACATTGTCCTGCCTCGGTCATAGTATTTTGTAATACGCGCTCCTCTCTTTCGCGCTCCTATATCCGCAATTCTATTCCATTTTATTTCACGTGACACATGACAAGCGAATTGAAATTGTGCTACGCGGTTAGAAAAGATGGATACTGAGGAAAGAAAAGAAAAGAGCAGGGGAAAAATGGAGAGAGAGAGAGAGAGAGAGAGGGAGAGAGAGGAAAGAGGAAGAGAGGGATGAAGAACGAAAGAATGTCAATCGTAAAAGAGGGGTGCGTTTTTCGAATGTTGTTGATGTAACACAACCGTCCGTTAGTGCAACGTCTGCTCGAGAATAATTTCGCGTAAGCGCTCTTAAATAAGAAAAAAAGAAAACTGACAAGACATCAGTCGAATGGCAAGCGAAACGAATAAGAACAATACGCTTGCTCACAAGCGATGAATCGATTCAGTCGACACATTTGGCGTATCTTGGCCGACCCTAGTCGAGAGCTCCGCAAACTTGCTCGATTGCTTTATCATAATTACATCATTGTCATCATCATTATCATACTGTGAGATTTGCGAGTTTCATCTCGGAGAAATTGAAACATCACGCAAATTGTTTCGGAATTATAGGTGAAAACTTGACTGGATGATTCAGAAAAATTGACGAAAGACGAAAAAGGTCCGAATAAATATATTCAGCTTTTTATTTTCCCGTAAGCTGCGCGATTGTTACATACCATGAGGAACGATTGATATTTATGCCTTTGAGAAGATTCATTTCAGCAACTTACAGGCGACCTACGATTTCGTTCTTTCGACAGAGTTATACACATGAAATGCACGTAGAAACGGTGTAACTTGGCTGACGCGATGTAAAATTAATTATTTTGAAAACTGTTCGCGGACTTGTGTTTGTCAAGATTGTTTGCTTTTCAACCTGTAATTCCGACACTTGAAAAAATTTGTTTCCATCTGATTACAGATCGACATCAGTGGGAAGAACAACGTGAAGGAATTATTCACACGAGCTGAAGTAAAAGCAATAAGTTTTCCTTTAGACACTGACGCGAGTCTACAATTAGCTGTCACACACATGTATGTATGTATATATACATATACTCTCTAATCTCTTTATAGTCGCTGTAGAGACGGTGCACTCTTGCTACAACTCGAACAAATTGCTTTTGTTATCGACGTTAATGCAGAGAGAGAGAGAGAGAGAGAGAGAGATAAAAATGAAATATTCGCGGAAAATAACACAGCGATCATAATAACATACATCTAGAAACTTTGCGTTAGAGAAATAACGCTACGATCCACCTTTGATTGAATTTTCGCTCGTCGATTACGAGTCGTCTGTTCGTTGGCGTCCCGAATGGCACGCCGTTTATAGCAATCCGTTTGCGAAGCTCCGCGATCAACGGTCGATTGAAACGAATACACGAATGCCGTTCACGACGACGACTTGATTGCTGCCATTACGATCTCTATGCGATGGCACGGCTTTGCCTACATTGCTGCATTCGATACTATCGTACATATATAATGAATCGTAAGAAAGGATCGTTGCCAGACTGGTATGATACGAAATACGACGAATCGCAGATTTCTAATGAACGGAAGATTGTGTCACTTAGAAGCGACAACCCTTGCAATTGTTACAACTTATTCTTAATTATAATATACTTACTTAACAATTATCATTTAATTGTCGTACATCTATGATAATTAGATTCTCTCGCGTATCTATCGGTGTACATATAATTTGATTATTACATGTTTGCGGTATGTGTGTTTGATATTAAGCTTCCGTTCGCTCGCTCGCTCGCTCGCTCGTTCATTTGTTTCTTCATTCATTCGTTCGTTCGCTCGTTCGTACACGCGTCCGTTCATTCGTACGTTCGTTCGTTCACGTCGCTTAGGCAAAATACCAACGAATTAGGCGTCCCGCCCGTTTTTATACAGCGTGAGATCCGCGGACGTCGGGACGAATTCTCAAGGATTGCGAAGCACCGTGTGTGACCGGTCAAACGGCCCGAAGTAAAAGTGCCGCTCCTCGCGTCTGTTTGAGAGATGAAAGTACACGGTTGCATAGTGCGCGCGCGCGCGATTGTTGACCTTTGACAGAAGATATTCCATCGGTGTCATATATATATATATATATATATATATATATAT